ATGTATATATATACGTATATATATACATATATATATACATACATATATATACATACATATATATATATATATATGGTTTTGTATAACACTTGATTTAATCTTGTTCATTCCAACAGTTGCAATAGAAACAACTTAGCACACATTCTGAATTTTACACATTCCTCTAACCAATATATATAGCAACCATCCAGTTACCTAGCCGTTGTCAAAGGTCGATGTCTCGTCGGCTATTAAGGGGTGATTTCCAAGGACGATATTAAATATATCATTAAGAAAAGATACGCATAAACATTTAACTCTTGCGATAAGGCTTTATGAATAAATGTATCTCTTCGGATATCCTGTCTTGTTGTTGAGAGTGCTTAAGAGGGCGCATCTCATTGATATGTCGAATACAATAAGTGTTCTATCTGCATACAACACTCTACATATGATGTGAAATCAATTGTCTCCAATCGAATTCGAAATACACACGAAAGCCACAGTGGCCGAGCTGTATATGCATCATTAGATAATAATAATAACAATAATAATAATAATATAATAATAATAATAATAATAATAATAATTGTATATTATTAATATTATTGTCACAGATATTGTTATGTCATTCATGTTACTATTATTATTGTATCATTATTATTGTTGTTGCTGCTGTTGCTGTTTTATTGCCCTTTTATCGTCATCATATTCTTTATAAATCAAGGAAGCCCATAAAAAATTCGAACTTTTCTGTTACAGAATTACACTTTATATAAACTTCATAGTGATTTATTTCTACAAATATCAGCATGCAGATGAAATAATTCTAATCCATGATTAAAAAGTTAACTTAAATACTGTATACAATTAATCAAACAAATATTTAGTATTGCAGTATTGTATAATATTTAAGCACAGATATTTATATGCGTATAGGCTTGCATTGCCAACTACAGGTATCAATTAGTAAAATGATCTCACACACAACCGTTCTGTTTTTTCCCCCTTTAGAATCAACAACTATGTATTCATTATATACATCATTACTAACAATGTGACGAAGTATAGATACTGTATGACAATTTTTTTTATTACAGAAGTTTATTATTCTTACTAATAGTTGCTGTATATTGTAATTATTTTTTTACTTGAGTGTTGTAGCAATTAAACAAAATGTTGTAATGTTATATAAGATGCAAGTACCATTTTATAAGTTTATTTTATTCTCTTATTATTTTTTAGAAGATGATATGGTTTTAACGTTGTCGTTGACTTGCCGTTGATGATTTATGGGATACATGCTCCCTGAACATGTATTATTGTTTCGTACACTATTGGTGCTCTGTTTTGTTTGAATGAACATTGTAAACTGGTTATGTGTGTATTTATTTAAGCTGTCTCCGAATTCTATCTGTTAAAAGATATTTTTTACATGTTTAGTTATTGTTTATATCTGATATAAAAATAATGAGATCAAATAAATTGACAATAAACTAAACTAATTTGGTGGCTATTTGATTTGTGCGCATGGTTAACTCTGGTTATTCATATATTCATTAATAATATTAATCTTTAGCCTGTAATACATCTTATAGACAACAATATATAAGCATACTCATTCATTATCTTTAATGCCAGGCTCCGGAGGAAAATTAGTATGCTGTAGGTCTACGACAGATTTTCTCGGAATCGGTGTTTGACAAAATAATTAGGAATGGATAAGATTAGACTTTCGTAAAAAAAAAAACAAAAAACGAGGGGAAGGGGATATTCCATCAAAATATTACATTCACAGCAAAATACAATGTTCGGAATGGCGTAATGAACTTAAGTAAGTGTACATAATTTGAGCTAATTAGATTAGGTCTAATTAAATGAAATGATTTATATATAATACTAAATAAATAATTACAATAACACCAGAAATTCCACTGTTCTCTGGTAACACCATTACATACTGTATCTACTTCAATAATCAGAGATGTAGAAAATTTGCGATTACGTTGACTGCCATCACCATCGGAAGAGGGCGTAGTATAACTTAACTTTTAAAGAATTCCCAATATAAGAGTAATAATAACAAATGTACATTTGTCTTGTCTTCATTTGTCATAGACGTTTCTTAATCAAGCCTTCACACAGACCGGAAACTGAATGTTTTGTAGATGCCACAATTCCATGCAATTTTTAGTATAACAAGTAGACAAAATAATCATGTGTAGACCTAGGCATATAATACTGTTACTGCTGCTGTAGCCGTCTTCTTCTGAAGACACATGGCCGGCATTGACGAGATACGTTGACAAAATCACTGTTGGTGTTCATTTTGAGCGCCAAGATTTACCATTATGCAAATGTATTTCAGTTATCTTTTTATCTTATTTTATAATTTTATTTATTTTTTAATAAAATGTTTCAGTAACAAGTTGTTGGTCGATAAGTAAAGCTATAGAGACAATGTTTATTTTTTTTTACACATATAAACAATTCATTAACAATAGGCCTAACTTAAAAGTACATTTACATACAGTAGTGTAATTTTACAATTTGATCGACCTATCAAACCATGGGCGGATTGCTATAAAACGGTCTTAACTGGTAGTCTTAACTCCTCGAATAAAGCCGGATTTATGACTTAGACGGTCTTACTAAAGTCATTCCACTAAGACCATTGCTAAAAAAGAGTCCCTTTGAGTATTGAAACGCAAACAAGCACTCCCTAATAACGTAAGATTGGGAGCGACGCCATGCGTGGTCGACGCACGCAAATGTATCGAAATGAACGTAAATAAACGTAGACCTATTTTGACAGACGCTGAGAAGCGTACGGAATATTCGTCGTTCTGTTCTCCGACTTTGACGATCTAGGCCTGGGTCTTGCCATTGCACTGTTAATGTTGAATAAATCAGCAGAACGCCATGATCAAAATTATTTAAGACCGTTTTAAGCCTCCTCCGAGTAGGCTTTAAAATTTAAGACGGCTAACTGGTTAGACCGTGGTATAATGGTCTAAAATCATAGACGTCACGATTATAGCCGGCTAACCGTTAAGACCGTCTGAAGACCGCTTATAGCAATCCGCCCCATGTCTATTAAAAACAAATAACAGATGTTTTGAAAACTGGGGTGGCACCCATGTCAATACGTATGATCTGTTTACCTGCGAATGTGCTTGTTTGAGAATCTTTGAGAAGATTGATAAAGATAAGTGTATTTTATTAAGTTTTATGCATGCACAAAACTTTCGACGTACTCGCCGTAGTAGGAGGTATACCAGTGTGCTCTTAACTTATACAAAACTTACCAATAACTTATTCGATTGAACTATCAATTATGGTTTTGATGAAGATTCTTTATCATACAGACGCTAGGGGGCTCTCTTCTATAATTCACGAATCGATCGCGATTGATCACATCGACGATCGGTGTCGTCGTCACTGCTGAGTTTACAACAAAGATACTAGAAACACAAGATAGAGTTCTCCACAGAAAAAACTGTTCCACCGAAATGCATGGTGGAAATACAAACAATAGGGCGCCGCGTACGGCTGGATCTAAAAAACTTCTGCCACCTTTACATAAATGTGAATACGTAACCTCCTTTTGCGGAGGTTGAAATTGTTGTCAAATATACAAACACGTATGCATAAATAAATCAAAACAATAAAATGACAGACACAAAAGCGCAGATTCGTATGACCGGACTCTGATTAGTGACAAAGTTTTCCTCCATTAGTGGAAAAAGAAGGGCGCCCTGTGCGTCTGGTTATATCTAGCGACAGAAGGGCGCCCTGTACGTCTGGACCAAGTATAGAAAATTTGCATTATTTAAAAATAGGGCGCCGCGTACGTCAGGACCAATTTCCGTCTCATTTTTGCTAGCTGAGTGCTCTATCTTGTATTTCTAGTATCTGTTTTTTTACAACAAATCAAAATATTGTACTTTCAAGTGTTATGATTAGGCCCCTATGTAGACCTCCTAGGCCTGAACCAATGGCTGCAAAGAACTTCCGTATGAACAGGATCGGAGAATTATTTGAATTGAAGACATTTCCCGAGAAGAAAGGCGGTACTGTAATAATACTGGTCTTCTATGCTAGCCTAGGCTTAGCTGTGTAGGCTAGATGATTGGTCTAGGCTAGTCTAGCCGAGGCCTCCTAGGTAGGCGTAGGCCTACCCACTCCCTGGTCTGCCATACCAAACAGCACAGCAGAAGTGTGCTACCATAGGCTAGCTACTCTAGAAAGTATGGAGTGTGCCTATCCTTCCGGCCTAGTTATAACGCAAATCATATTTTATATTTTTTATGCAAATCTACTAGAATACCATCATGTATTGTATTTGTATGTTTTGACTTACCTTTTTATCTTGACAATGACATTCATTGTCAAAAGTCATTGCCCTAGGCTTGGCCATTGGCCAACGGTACTTTGATTTATCTTGACCCTTTGGACGGTACCGTACGTTGACCTTTAGCCTTTTTTATATATTGTATCATGGAGATATACTATAAAATTATATATTTTAATAAAATTGTTCACTATGTACAATAACAATGCAAGCTGATAATGTATTGATATTGTAAGTTTTATTGTTAAATGTAAATTGTAAGTATTCTATAATAATAATAATAATTGTTTTTGTTTATTTTCATTTTGAATGTAATGTATGATTAAATGAATAAAATGGTAAATTTTAAAAAAAGTAACAAAAAATAATAATAATTATAATAATATTAGTAGTGTAAATTTGTATATGTCATTTGTCAGGCCTAGTAAAGAATCATGGCTATTATTATTACACTTCCAACTTTTATCATGTTCCATAAGGTAAAAAACCATGTCCAAGAAGTGGCCATCGCTGTGTTGCTGATAAAAAGGGACTGTATGTATTCGGAGGATACAACCCAAATCTAGACACACTGAAAAGGCATTACGATGACTGTGATTTTGAGGCTCTGGACATCATCATTCCACTCTTCAATGAGGTAAACATTGTTATTAGGCCCCCAAAATACGCGTACCGCTAGGCCAAGCCTTACTTTCGTTTAGAGGGTAGCAGCGCCAAGACGCGCTTTGCTACCAGCCATGGACGTACAAAATCGGTTGCCACTTTGGAACTGGAATAAAGAGTAAATCATTAAATTGACTCAGATTCAGGCAGTAATGTGCTAAAAAGACGAGTACTATATATACATAGCATGAAGTGATTTAAAACATTATTTTCATCACGATTGAGAGAAAAAAAATGTGGCTCTTTGTTTTTCTGGTCTTCGGTCTTTGTTTTGTAATTTTTCTGGCAATTTAACAAATGATCATGATGTAATATGAAAGTTGCAGGTTTATTGATTGTTTTCACTGATTTTAAAGCTTTGGGAATTCAACTTTGCTTCCTGTTGCTGGAGGAAGATGAAGACATCTGGTCCAATGCCAACTGAAGTTGCCTCAATGGCTATGCTCTTAGTTGGCTCAACAATTGTTGTCTATGGAGGGACAGGTATATTCTCTATTCTTTATTGCAATTTTGTACACAAAATTGAAGTTTTAACAATTACTTATCATAAAATCAACACAATGAAAAAGAACAAGAAGATTACATTCAGAATATAAAATGGTACATAGTTGAAAATATTATATACAAATTAAGAAATTGTCAGAAGTCAGAAATATTATATAAAATTATTTTTTCTAAATTATTATATTTATTATTATTGCAGTATTAATCTTATGATAAATTTCACATTTATATGGCACATATTGCACAGTGCATGTGTGCACTTTACACTAAATTGTATAACAAAAGCTCTTAGAAAATATTTTCCTTATTCAAAAGCTTAAATACAAACTGAACAACCCTGACATTGAATTTTATTGTTCAAGTTTAGTACCAGAAAATGGATTGTGTATCTACAAAATATTTAAACCCTGTAGATAATTTAAACAAAATTAATACAGACAGAGTCATACTTACTTTTTTGTTGCCAGGATTTCCATTTGGGTTCACATCTAGTAACAAGATTTACACTTTGAACCTGAGGTCGCTGAAGTGGAAAAAGCATGTGACTGAAGAGGAGTATTCCCCCATTCGAACCTATGGCTCTGTAAGTAACTCACGTAGATGACTCTGTAGTGAACAAGAGGGCTACTTGCATTTTTAGTAAACCTGAAAACACTCCATAAACCTCATTATGAAAGTTTTTTATTTTGTTTTATTCAATTCAAATTCTGCTCACAGCATTAGGCAGTAGTAAGCGAGGTGGAGGAAAAAAAAGTAGACCTATACTAGTTCAACCACCTGAACATAATATAAAACATTACAATAAAAGTAAATAAAAAATAAATTATATACATTAATCACTATAAAACAAAGCAAATAATAAAAGGAACATAAAATAACAAAAAGTGATGTTGTAGCATAGACAATTTTTTACTGAATGACGCTATCCTTGATGTTGATCACAGGAAACTTTTAGGTGTCATCATTTAATGTGATTTGAAATGGGAACTCAATTCTAACGATATTTACTCGCGTTCATCTAGAAGATTATTTACCTTGTGTATGCTTAAGAAAATAAATTGACATGCTTATGTTTTATAGTACCTACATTAGACCTATTAATTTTACTTCACTTAAACTTGGTTTACTTGGTAGTAGAGATTCTAGAAGCACATTGCTTATGAGCCCCTTATGCATGGGCATTAAAGTTCATTGGATTGTAGAGTTTTGGGTGGTTTTTGTGAGCCTTTGCAAGAAAGGTTTTAAAACTGATTTATGGGTTTAGCATTTACAACAAAATTTGGTAGTGAGTTCCATTAATTAAGATATATTTTTCAGTACCATAGTTTTTTTTTAAATATTTCTGATATTATTGTAAAAAAACACTTTCAGACATTGGCTGCTGTTTTGTATTTGATGTATACAGAAATAAATCAATAATTTTTTTTTTTAAATTGACCGTCATTGACCGACAAATTCATCTCAGGTGTCTGGGAGCAGTGGACAAATGCAAAACAATCTACTGATCCATTGCATCCAGTGTTCGGTATCATGCCACATTGTGTATCTGGCACCACAACTTGTTTGCCACCATTTTAACTATGTATGTCTTTTCTAGGCAATATGTGTCAACAAGGAAAACTTGTATGTTTATGGCGGTACTACAGGATGGTCTTACACTTCTAATGTTGATTGTTACAATATGGACTCTCTTTCTTGGAGCAGTGTGTACGATTCATCAATAGATTGGCCCCCGGGCTATATTCAGCCTCATGATTATGTTCAGTCCCCAAAGCCTCGTTATCGACATGAGATGGTGTCTGATCGTGAACATTTGTACATACTTGGAGGGGGTAGAGCTACCGTGGCTTTTGAGCTAGAAACAGTATGTTTTACTACGGTTTTGCTTTACTTTTCTCTTTTTGTGGGAGCTATTGCAGTAATCAATGGCAAATATTCTAACATATGTAACAAATTGTTATTTACATAGGAAAAAATAATATAATAAAATTTTTATAAGGGAGGACAAATATAAAGAGTCCTTGTGGACTATGCATTAGGGAAGGTTCATCGATAATCACTGGCATACCTCAAAATTATTGGGGACAGGTTATGGACAAATGTGTAAATTTCTAGAGGTTATTTAATACCTGTGTTGTAGGACAAAAAGAGTACAATTATAAACTAAAAGTTGTGGGGACGGTTTAAGCCTGGTCTTCTTAAAATTTCTACACTGTCGCTACAGTGTTTTCAGTGCAATCGTTCTACTGTGTAGCAGTCCCTGACGCAATCGGGAAGGTTCCCCGATTCGACCAGCCAATCAGAATCACTATGGATTCCAAGCTTTAGGACTAGACATATACTAATACATATATTTTTGTGCATATTAATATTTATTGTTGTGAATGATACTCTTCTTTAGATATATATTTTAAATTTGCAATCAAAATCCTGGGAAAGACGTCAAAGTATAAAAGATAAGAAGCATGGCTACCCTGGACGAAGGAGGTGCTTCGGTTGCTGTCAGCTTAGTGACAGTAAGATTAACCTACTTTTTTTTTTAATACTCAATTATTGAAGTACTAGTATAGTCAACAAGACTGTTATTGCTTTTATTATTATTGCTAAATATCATCATATTCATCATTGTCATAATATTATTAATATGATTTACTATTCCGATGTGTTTTTTTAGCGTGTCACGAGAAATAATCTAATAAAAATTATTTACCCTACCTGACGAGTTATTGTACTGAATGCTCAGTATATTCCGAAATGCTTGCGAAAAAATCTCAGGAGTAGTTTGGGTATAGAACCCACAACCTCCAGATAACTAGCCTGGTGTCTTAACCACTCGACCACTGAGCTTGCACTTGGTGACTAGTGAGGAATCCAATCCCCAAGTAGCAGCAGGTACTGCAATGCTATTACGATGGCGTTCTAATATTATTGTTGTTATTATCATCCATTAGATGTGTATATTAGTGGAGGACTGAATGAATTAATGATGTTTGATGACATTTGGAGATTGTCACTTACAGACCTTCAGTGGACTAAATTCAATGCAAAACTTCTCTTTCCAACCTATTTTCATGCTGCTGCAGTGACACCAGTAAGATTTTGGATATAGAAGAATATCAGTACTTAATATGTTTGCTTTGATAATAAAAATAATACTACTAAAAACAAGAATAATACAGTAATAACATCATTAGTCAATAAATCCTGGGTCAACTTAAAAGAATGACCACATCTGTATAAAAATGAATGATGGACAATACAACTACTGAAAGAGTCATGAAAGTGAATAAATGATACAACCTCAAAAGAGGAAACTAAGAGGGAACTAAATAATGATGGGTCAGTAAATGCCTACTTAACATCATAGAACTTCTTAGTGCTGGTGCAGATACAGAATTATGCAGTAGGGGGTGCATGAGTGTCCACACCACCTCAGCCTGATCATGGGTGGGGCTATGGTGAGAACATTTTGAGAATATGGACCTGTAGGTGATCGGAAATTGCACTTTCATACCTTGAAAAAATCTTACCGGTACTATGTTCATATCAACAATACAATACAATAATTATTTTTCTTAATACAATTTAGGGGGTGCAATCTTCCTCCCTCCCCTACATCCGCCCCATAAGTGTTGTACTTAAACTAAACTGAGTGAACTTGCAAAACCGATCTGAGAAACAAAATACAGTAGGCTAAAAATTAGCATAATGTTTTTTTTACATTTTCTTTCAGTCGGGGTGTATGTTCATCCATGGTGGAGTCAAAACGCTCACTGGGGACAAAAGAAGTCTGAAATTAAGCAAAATTTGGTTGGTTGTACCTAACCTTTTAGAACTCTGCTGGGAGAAAATTCTTTATTACATACCAAGCATCTGCCGGATACCAGAGTCTCAACTCATGCAGTTAGGTTTACCGCAGCATATCATATCAAGATTAAAATTCATTTAGTTTAAATTAGATTATTTAAAAAAATGTATTTGTTATTCGTGTCTGTGACCAGCATAGTACTTGCTGTATATTTGGAAAACGTTTTGATTGGTTGAACAAAATATGTTCACACCGATTCATTGGAAATTTTCAAATGATACCAGCCTACTATACGTATATATGGTCTGGGGGAAGCACTTTATTTGCGCAACTACCGTATTTATTTCGATAAATGCCACGCTTTGAATAAAATTCTCCCTCTTGAATAATCACCCTCACCAGAACCTCATTTGGAATAAACACCTCCCTCGAATAAACACCCCGGGACGTTTACTTTTTCTTTGAATAAATTCCCCCAACTGACTAAACAATTCTAATTGAAGCAACATTATTCTCAACACATTCTATTAATGTTCTACTCCAGTTTTCTAAACCTGGTTGTGATCAAAAAGTCCTTATAATCACGCAAAAACACCTTTTGACGGTAATTGTGTGTTGTAGTTCCACATTTACAGTGAAGTTCAGGTGTGTTTATTTGAGTATATGTTCCACAGACAAGCCAAACCAGTCACTCGCAAAAATCGATATTAAGTTATTAATACAGGGTTAAACAATAAAATGAGAGCTATAAAATGGTGAAAGTATCATTTAAATCTGACATTTCATTATGAAGTTACAGGAATTTAAACATACAACTGTTTAAAGGACAGTATTTGAGAAATCAGCCTTCAAAGTTTACGATTTCAGGCATTGCTCAGGCAGAAACCATTACTAAATCATTAAAAATTTTTATTTTAACATCGGAAATGGGGAAATTAACAACATAGCATGATGTATAGGTATATAAAAGTTAGTTTAGTGCAATAAAATAGATTTTAAAAATGTTGACATTCCAGCATGTTTTGGCCATTATCGCCGAAACACGATTTGTGAGGAGAGACTGGGTTTGTTTGTCTTTGCCACATATATGTATCCATTTTACAACAAAAAAATAAATGCCTTCCTCGAATAAACGCCTCCCTCGAATAAACTCCCCTCAAAAACCCTTCTGAACAATAAACGCTGTAGGGCATTTATTCAAATAAATACAGTATTTATATTCCTAAGGGGATGTTTCGTACATTAAGTGCATCCCCCAGAGATTAAAAATAAAATCTCTGCGATGAAATTGTAAAAGGCAAGAAATATTAACTAATCTTCGGTGCTGGAGAAACATTAAACATGTTTAGGTATTATAAAGCATCATTCTTTAGAAGAGACATTTAAGCTGTTGGTTATGTTTACAACATCAGCAATGTGCAAATCAAGAAGGTACACTCTTTAAGAAAGGGCACCATATTATGCATCGCAAGAAACTGCCACAGCTCAAATTTTGCTAGTAGGTTACTTTATAACAGTATTTTAATTGTGTGTAAACCCACAATATACTATCAATTTACTTTGCTTGAAAAGCTTTGGTCTTTTCACTATAGAAGTCAGTTATCATTATGATTAAATTTTAAATATTTTTCATCTTAAATTGCAGAAAATAATCAAATGAATATGGGACTGAAATTTAATCTGTTAAACATGACTTGATAATTGTTGAATTTGTAATAAACCTTTGCAGTAGATTTGATTTTTTAATAAATGATATGAAGTGAAAATATTTATTTGTCAATTGCATTATTTAAATCAGCTATCTCTCAATTGGCAGCTAACTACTCCAAAGTTAAATAGTGTATTTACATAAAACTAAGTGGTAGACTTTGGAAAGGAATATGTTGCTCAATAACCAAGTGTAGAAAAACAGCGAGAAGCAAACATTTGGACATGATACGGCAAGGTACTATGGACGTTACAGTATAGGCATTTCTATGGGACAAATAGAAAGAAAAAGGAGAGATGGAATGAAATAAATGAATATGAAATAAAATTGAACCATGTGACCAACTCACAGGTGGTGCCAGTGTGTGGGGGTCAGGCGGGGCTCCTTTCGGGGAGAGAGAAAAAAAGATTTTCCCCCTGGAGGCTCTCAAAGTGGTTCTGAGCAACCCCTGGCAGGCCCACTTACGCTCTCGTCGGGGCACTCCCCTAGTTGGAAAATTCTACTTTGAATAACACCATTAGTCTTTTATTTGCTCAACCTGAGCGTCTGTAGCCAAAAAGTGTTCACCCTGGCAGCACATTAATTTTATTTGCTTTTGACTTAATCTGGGGCCTGGTTAGTAGCAAGCTACATTTCAGCAACAGGCCAATGCTTTATAAACTAAAGCCCATTATAAGGCTTAGTGAATACTAATTTTAATCGTGAGAAAAACTCAGGGTAGTCATCCTAACCAAGAAATATTAAGTCCTTTTCAAGTAACTGGATGTTAGAGGCCAAAGCCTTAAATCCGTTTTCTGCTTGGGACAGGTAATTCGTGTTGTTGACCAATCCCATCACTGAACTCTTTGCTGACAAGGAATTAGCATACATATTAAATATCGAGTACAGTATATTTTTGCTGGTACACAGTCACAAAATACTGTGGTGTAGGAACATGCTGGTTAGCTTATTTGTGTATTACAGTGTCGTCAAATAGAACAATACTTTTACAAGGTATACTGTATGTATTATACTAACAATGCAAAAACAAGTTAGCAGTGTGACTCTGATACTGATCAATTTGAGGCCATACGATAGTTTTATTGAACATAGACAACTGTTCGTTTGAAAAGTCTAAGGATTGAGCCTGGTCTTTTATCTCAACAAGTCAAACAACCTCTAATTGTTGCCATCTTTTTAGTAGAGTTTATAGAATTGATACCACTTTTGTGAACCTAACAGATACTCGAAAATGAAGACGGAAGCGCAAGCAAGTCCTGTCAAAAGCCTGCTCGATGTATTTTCGACGACGCAGGCTAAACAATCTACAGATGTACAGAATATCATGGCAATTACTGATGATGACCTGCCTTCAAATTTAAAAGTAATGGAAATCACGACAGAAGTAGTTATCTTCATGACAATCGTTGCTATTAATCTTGCTATGGGATGCACACTGACGACAAATGATTTTAAACGACAATGGAAGTTCCCGAGTGGAATAATTCTTGGGATGATCTCTAAAATTTTGATGTATCCTTTTACTGCGTTTGCATTAAACCATCTTCTTGAGATACCCAGTCCTTACGCCATCGGTGTCATCTTGATGGTGGTTTGCCCTGGGAGTTCAGTTTCGAGCCTTTTTACTTATTTCGTTGATGGAGATGTTTGTATGAGGTGAGCTCTTAATTCAATTCCATACAATTTTTATTTTCAATAGTGGTTAAGATGCTCGCCTTCTAATCACGGGGTTATCGTTTTAAATATCGGTAATGTAAATACCAGCTTTCTGATGACTAAAAACATATTTAAGCCTAATAATTTGAGTAAAGATAGATAATTATGATGGAATTAACCAAGATTTATTAATGAAGAAAAACGATAAGGAAAATGTTTGCACACCTGCCTTAATTACTTTGTCCTTCGGATTGGATGTTAAGCCAATGGTCCCATGTGCATAATAACACATCCGGGACGAAAAAGAATAATTCAAAAGGAGTACGAGATCGTCTCCCTTTGAACTAACCATGTTTTCTGCGGAGCGGCAAGAATATCCTAGGAGCTTAATCACGATACTTTCACATGCATTTTACATTTCTGTTTTTCAGTGTTTTTTCAACAGCTTTCTCTACGTTACTGTCCATTGGACTGTTACCGGCCTTGCTCTACATCTACACTCGCAGTTGGACAACTTACACAGCAGTCGTTCCATACCTTTCAATTGCTGCAATGCTTCTGGTCATTATTTCCCCAGTTCTCCTCGGAATGGTTCTGCGTGTTTGGAAACCTAAAGTCGCAAATGTTATTGTAACGGTAAGGATTTGTAGGCCTACTTTTGGCAATAGTAAGAAAAATACTGCACGAATGCATTGTTATTAAAAGTTAAAACTCCAATGTTGACCTTAATTACTACGTTTATGACTGGTTTTTCTTTAGCAGTCATCATTACTAGTTACATGAAATATATATTCTCATAGGTTTGCGCCAAAACTATTTTTTTTCAATAATACATACTGACAATACAAGTAATTTCTATTACCTGTTCTAATCTTTCAGATTGGAACCACAATTGGAATTGTTGGGTACTCCGCATGTGCTCTATTCCACATATTCTTGCAGACCAGTGTTCGCCACAGTACTTGGAACGTGTACTTCATTGCGTTGGTCCTACCGATCGTAGGCTTTGGTGTAGGTTATTGTACTGGCTACGTCTTTAAACAACACCCGAGTCGCTGTCGAACAATTGCCATCGGGACAGTCTTCCAAAATTCCGGTATTGCAATTTTAACTCTCGTAGCGACTGTTGAGAATTTTGAATGGTCCCAATGTGTGGTGTTCCCAATCGTATATGGAGCAGTGTCGGGACTTTACGGACTTGTTTACACGTTAGTTTTCCGAGGTCTTCAACATCCTTCTAAAGCGCCGACTGAGTGGATAGTGATGGCTGGAGGTTACACAAGTCTCGAACCAGGAGATGATTTTGAGAATCCTTGGCTTTTGGAGGCTGATAAGGATGACATGTCTTTCAGATACTGACGAGGTAAAGCATACAGAAACAATTCTCAAGAACAAGAGGACAAGTCAATAAATAAGTCTGAATTCAAGGCTCACCATTTTAGCTTAAAAGTGCTAAATATTATAGTTACAAAAAAAAATATAGCAATAGTTTCTTGATCAACAATAAAGCTCGGACCAAAGCCTTCAATTGTAAAGTTGTCATTAAAAACAAAAAAGAGAAATTGCACATTAAAATATTGAACAAAAACGAAGAAAACCCAAGTCAAGAATGTGTTCGAAATCTTACTAAAACAACGCAGAAGGCAACAAAATAGTGAAACTTTTTGAATTATATCGACTTTTGCTAGAAGTGTACCTGACATACAATTACAGGATAATATAATTTATTAACAGAAGAGAAAAAAAGAGACTAATTAATGTCTTAAGGATGATCTATGAAGCCTGGTTACTTTTAATAAAGCAAGCAAACAAGCTTTACATGTTAATTAGGTTAATCTATTGCTCACGGTAATGCAGAGGTCATGGTTAAAATTCACTATTCCTAAAATATGGCCACTGATGTAATACGAAAATTACAATTTACATTACATATCTTTTAAACTTTGAACTTATGTAAATTAAGGAATACTGTATTTTCCTAGTTCGAGTCCATACTATACATCTCCAATATTCCTAAACTATCAGCATCACGATGGCGTGTATTTCAATACTTGGAGTATGTATTATACTTTCTTATCTATCAGCATATAGATTGCAAATATAAATAATATGGTAAGTCGAAATATAATAAAGGAAAGACCCTACTATAGGGTCTGTGATAAAAAGAAAAGTAAGAAAGGGCCTGAAATAGTATCCAACGAAATTATATTGGTATATGAAGCCCCGTGAATGAGAACTCATTGTTTTTGCTGATAGTAGCCTATACATGTAGAAGAAAATTCAAATTATTGACAAAGATATCGAACCAAGTTAGAAAATGCGCAATATTTAAGTTTGTAAATGAGACAATATGCACGAAACAAACACTGAAAAAACCCTGCAAACCATCGTGATAATGTATTAATTATATTCTTTTATAAACCAGCATATTTTTGCATTATGCAATCAAATATTATTAGATAAAATACAAGATTTATATGATCCTGTAAAAACAAAAACGTCAAGCCGAGTTCATTTCGACCATGACTGTGGCTAAGGTAAGAACATTTGTGATACTTTTCTTTATATTTCCATTAAAAAAAATTGAAGAATTTGTGCCCCCCCCCCCCCACCCACGAATCCGCCACTGATGAACAGGATGCTTGTCAAACAGTTTTTTCTTTCACGACAAATAAAATATGTCAGCTTCATTAAGCCTCAATACAAAGCTTAGTATATTTATATACCAGCGTTTGTTTTCATTTGTATGAAGACAAACATATAATTTACATAAAAAGTTCAAAGGTAGGAAGATGGATTGATAAATTGAATACAGTACAGTACATTCTTTGTGTAAGGGTTGAGTTGTTTTTTTACTACGCTCTTTTGTTTTCCTGATTTGGTGTAAATTTCATCAACCAGTGTGCAATATAAATAAAAATACTGCACAAATCTATTATGACTAGGCTTAGAGTTAAGTATTCACGATTGAATTCAAGTCTCTTAATACAAAATATAGTATAGTTGTATGCCCTACCATCAGTGTACCAGCATGTTGCCTGTAATGTGTAATGCTCGATACGCAAAGTTTTGTGAAAATATATTACCTAAATGTAGGATGTAAGTACTGCTTGAACATTATAAAAAGGCTGTAAGATAGTACTGTCAGAAAAAATAATATCCAGTATTCTTGAAAATGATTAAATAGGAACTTTGAATCCTCAAAATGTTTGTTTTTGGGTTACTGTCTTTCCTTTTTATTCAAACCAGGAAGACGAGCATGTCCCACATACAAGTTGATGCCATTATTCTAAAGAGTATATAGAACATAGTTATTATTATTATGATTTATTTATTTATATATTTTTTAGACTTTAGCAACAATAAGCGGGGCTTAGCGGTACGGTACATTGCTAAAAATAATAAAATACAATCTTTTTTGTAAAGTAATAAAAGATTTTTTTTCCCACGCTACTCCACGGATCTCAAACTCTTCTCAGCAGCTCTGATTCACTTTTGCCGAATATTTGAAATGACAGTTAAATAAAACAAACATAGACGTTTCATCGATTTTATATTCAATTATTAATAAGGCTTTGGATGGGTATATCATTTTTTACTTAATGAAACAACAAACGCTTTAACCTTAACACCACTATTTGACGTAGTTTGAAACATATACATGGAAATTGTATTAACAAGATACTAATGGAAATTTCATGAAACCGGGTTTTTTTTTTTTTTTTAATCAACCGTAAGTGCAATGTGTTTAATTTGCAACTCAATCGTTTGGAATAATGAACAAAATTGCTTGCAGTGCCTGTGTCGGAGATCAATTTAAATGAGCTTGTATAACCATAGTAGTTATTAATTGCTATGCACTACATTGCTTCACACCAATGATAATAGTTTAGAGAATAACACTGAACTTCAGAGTTCCAGGAACTTAAGTCAGCGATGCTATATTATAGCATAACAAACTTACATTTTCTACAAAATTGTAGCTACAATACAGTGACAATTGATTGCACTTTGTCTCAACTTGATATAACATCTTGACTTCAACTAGAAGTGGAGACAAAAAAGGCCTGTGTATTTGACAAAGGTACCAATGGTAACATTTACATAGGAACCGCGCACCTAAAAATGATATCAATAGTGTACCATACATTTCTAGGAACTGTGTACCTATAGAAAAACATACCAAGTGTACCAATGGTGACATTTTGATGATTGTTAAGTTGTCTACATAGAAAACTATACCAATGGTAATACATTATATTAATCAAAGGTGTCCACCTGGAAAACCATAGAAAACCAATGGTAACATTTTTATTGGGAGTATCTACCTTGAAAACTAACAAAGTGTAGGAATGGAAACATTTTTATATAGCCTATGTACCTAGAAACTATACCAAATGTGTACCAATGGTAACATTTCCATGGGAACAGTGTACCTAGTATATTATACAAAGTGTACCAACCTGTCAGCAATTTTGTAACTATTGGGCTATGGTAATTTTGTCTAACACTTTTGTAGAAATTGTTTTCTGCAAAACGAACTGACCATGGTAAAACTACATGAGCTATTTTATTGAAAAATCGATGTTAAGAATGGTTAAATTAATTTGTGAGTCAATACATTGCAATTTGCAGGTTAATAAAGTCATGTTAACTTTTATTTCAATCTGAACTGAACTTGAATTAAATAATCAAATTTTAGTAATAACTTAAATATTAATAATCTTTAGCTGATTTGTAACGTCTAACAGCTGGTAAATTTCATGGTTATCTATTCACTTTTTAGGGGCATGGACAAATTCCTTATTCTACAAATAATATTCAAAATTATGCAAAATCAGAAGCTCAGAAAATCTTGCTTTTATATCACTGATGTTATTTCCTTTTAATTACATACATACCATTTGCAAATAATGTTACCGATGAAAGTAGACTAACAGCTTAATTTACATATTTAATTACACTGTGAAAGGTCAACAGAAAATTAAACTTAACTATACTTGGAAGACAACAAAACTGAAAATGTATAGTTTCAGTCAAAGCAACTTGGCATCACTTTTGAAGATGCTGATAATTATATATTAAAAGTCAGAATATGAATTTTACACCTTTTGGTTTCAAATAATATGGAATAGAATATTCATCAAATTTGATTTGCAAAAATCATGAAATGCGATTATGATAATTAGCATCACCATTGTTACGTTTGTGCAGGTACCTTAGCATTATAAGTACTTTAGTTTATCTTAAGATATAAAGTTGAAAACTACACAATTGTAACTCTTACCTTTGAATTTTCAGAAGGTACTCCATCCTTCATCAGCGAGTGAAATGATTGATTGGTATCAACCTACTTGACTCGCTTCACTTGCTGACTAAGGATGAAGTACCATCTGAAAACTCTGAAGTATGACATTTTGAAACTTCTTGTTGGACCAAAAGTTTATAATTATATCACTATTCTACCAACACAAATGAATTTTCATGAATTTTTTTTTTAGTTGGTATGTTTTAGCTTCGTATTAATTACATATTGCCTTTATCAGTAAGCAACCAGTTTGCAAAAAAAACAAATAAAACTTTTCATTTATAAACAGAGAAAACTTTCTTTAAAAGAGAACAATAAATATTTATCCAATTATACAATTCTGGATTCCAAAACATTAGCAATCTTGCTTTTATAATGATCAATGCAACTTTTACCAAGTTTCAATTGAAAACCAGACTAAAACACATATAACTACTAACATACAAAGCTTTTTTTCTTATATCTGCATATCCAGATTTTGTTATGCAATGCCGCCTACTTTGCAGACAATTATAAAAATAAAATATTTATTTTGTTAGAATTGATGAGCAGCCTACTATCTAGGTTTGGTATACCTCAGTTTGTTTTTTTTTGGTATGAGTAAAAGGTACAATAGAAGGAGATAAATACCAAAGCATTAGTAGTAGTGAGGGTACCAAATCTTACCCTAAGTATATTAATATACAGCATGCAGATATTATTCAAGTGGCAGGATAAGGTAAAAAATAAGTTTTTAATTATCGTAATCACAAGCTCTCGTTCTCAATCACTTTTTTTTTTGTAATAACTAAGAAACCCAAGAATATTGGAATATTTTGCACGTGAATTCAGTTTAGTAACAAGTTGGTAATATTTACATATCTTACAATGTACAATCAGTACCACAGGTTGCATGGGGCTTCAAATATATAACTTATAAACTGCATTAATAATGCTACGTTACCATCTACTTTTACTAAATTCCACAAAGCTTTTCTACTCTCTTTCAAATGATAGCTACACTTTAGTTTGTTAGTCGGTCTTAAAATGCCTACATTTCTCACAAAAACGTTTCACCATCATTTTCTTTCGAAAGCCCATTATCATACGTTTTTGGTCCTTACCACAAACACTGAATCGAAAGTAAACTACATCTACCCATTACAGTTACATCATGTTGTGAACAATTTCCCTTATTTTCAAATTACAGTATCATATTACACACGAGAGCCTACCATGAGATATTGTTGACATTTAAATTCAAAAGAGCAAATTTTAAGTGTAGGAAAGATTGTTGAATGTGCTAATACATTTATCAAAATTGGGAATATTCATCACAAGCACATCTATATGGCCTGTCTTACGATTTACAAATTTTTCTTGCAGAAAATAAATAAGTAAATTAGTTAATTTAAATCTGGAAAGAATTAAAAAGTGAGATTAGCTGTCTTTTAATTGAATGTGTTCAAAAACTATATGTTTAATAGGTAAAAATAAAGTATTATAGACCAGTAGTTATAATTGATGTTTAGTTTAACAAAGCATAAACATTTTCCAATTTGATTTTGGAAACATCATTCTTAAGCATTTATCATGCATATGATTTGGTGTTGCTGCTTTAAAAGGACTGAAATATTGGTTTTTAGGAAGTTTTGAAAATAAGGCAAACTTTTTTAGAATTTGTATGATTTTATAAGCTCTTATGCGTGAACAGGATGAGTAACAGATTTAATACCTTAGATGCAGCATGGCGAACCAGTGACTACAATTAATAGCAACCTCACACATAATGGATGTGTGCCCTATTCTTATTACACATTTATCTGATTATCTATAATTCTATTATAATAATGTTTATAAGTTTGCATACTTAGAATGCAAGAATTATTCTCTTTTGGAATGAGTCCATGCTTCACTTATTGCAAAATTTACACTAGATAGATTTTTAGTTTTGTAATCATTATTTTGAATGCCCAAATTAAATTTAGCAACTGTTAAAAAAAAATATTTATAGAGATCATTCTGTTACTTTTAAATTTGATGGATGCCAATTTAAGTTAAAGAGGCCAAACTAGGCTAAGATCATCCCCTTTCACATTTGAGAATTTGGGACAAAATCTTGGGTATACTAACTGCAATGTGTTTCCTACTCACAGTACTAGACTAGATAAACACACATTTCTAACCTACATATAATTTAAATATTAATTTAGTTTAAAAAATAAAATCAAAATTTATACTAATAACAAAAAGGTTATCTCAATAAATTTGATGAAAACTTATTTCCTCTTAATTTCTATAATTTTATAATTATTTATCCGAAACATTCAGCTTAATCTGTACAAAGGCACACAAGACTATCAATGCATACATCCATAGTAACATGGGTACTGTGTGAAGTGAAGGAATGCAGATGCGACTTATTTTCTCTTAAGCATACTCTAATACAAATACATTGCAATATATTAGGAGCCTGTTCTATATATGATTCACAGTGAAAGGATGTTGATTTGAATGTTCCAAATTACACTCATCAATACAGTACTTATTCCTCACTCTTGTTAAACAAAAAATCAGCCAGTTCGTACTAACAAATATTCTATATTCCAATTCTTGATATTGAATTCACAAGAAAGCATGTACCAATAGAATACTGTACAGCCAATGCATCCTTTTATACTGAAACTAACAATTCAAAATTTATTGAGGTGTATTTTTCTTATCATTGTTCGTCTTTCACTGGTTGAGATCCTTCAAAACCGGCATGAAACAACTTCCGATGAATGAAATTTATTACGTTCCTTAACTGCTTCTTAAGTTGTCTAACATTCCTGTCTTTCAAATATCTTAAAGCTTCTTAACACATCTTGATGGAATGGATGTTAGGTAAATATTGAATTGCACAAAGACTGCGTGCTAAATGTTTTACAATATGTTAATAATTTATCTTCTACACTGTTTATATTTGGAGGCAAACTCAACTTCAATGTACAGTATGAGAAAACAACTAATGCTCTAAAGCTCAATCCAGACTAGCAAATTTTCTTTGACAAAAAACTGATGTATGAACATATATAGTCATGATGTGCCTATAAATGGTCATGATGTGATGTCACCATGACCATATTTAGGCATGTCACATGTTTTTGTCAAACAAAATAGTCTGGACAGGGATTTACCAGATTATCAAATTTTATTTGACAAAAAACTGTTGTATGCACATATATAGTCATGATGATAAACCCATGTAAATACAGTCATGATGTGATGTCACCATATTTAGGGATGACACATTTTTTTTTGTCAAATAAAATTTGATAGTGTGGACAAGGTTTAACACCCAATTCACACAAGACAAAATTTTACCCGGGATGCTACTTACTAGCATCTTACTAGATGTTTGACAGATATCTATGTTTGACAGACGTCTACAGATTTTCCTCCTGAGTAGAACAGATAAGCCGAATAATTTTTGCGCGTAAAAGCAATGCCACAGTGTAGGATAAGGGGCTATCCCTGTCCATTCTCAGGAGAGTTAAATGCCTCTGAGATATCTGTCTTAAAATGGGCATTTTATGGGATCCATTCTATTCTCAGACTGATGCACCTTCACATAAACATGATGCAGAAGGGGATGCTTGCTGAATTTATCCTGTGTACATTTTTTCTCATGTGAATCAAGTGTAAGTATAAAAACTATACATTTTCCTTCATACTATTGCACGAGTACAAATTATTGTAGCTCGATTTTTCTCTCATGTTGCAAATATTACTGCCATCCTTTTGTTGTTGCATACCGTAGCTGCTACTGAGCTCATTACGAAAGTTTGAATGTTTAGTGTAAAGCTTTAAGCTTCAATATTGATTATGCCTATAAATAAATAATTGATTGATTTACAGCAAATCTACAAATGCATTGTGCATAATCACAAGCCAAAAAGAATCTGTTATCATTTACACTGTAACAAATTTTATAGCCAAGTAAAACTATTTAGCTTGTGCCAAGTTGACATTTGCATTGATAGGCATTCACCTAAACACTGAAGGAGTGTATTGAAGTTGGCTCCTGATAAACTAGAAGCCATTAATAATAATGTGATAGTCTTCTTAGGCTTGCTTCTACATATAGCACAATAACTAGGTGCCTTAACTTTCACTTATACTTCTCGTATAAGCATGCTTAGGCTGTTGTTGACTGGGTTGTATAGGCTGTTGTTGACTGGGTTGTATATTTTGAAACATCTGAGGCATCTGTTGACCTGCTAATGGCATCTGTTGGCCGGCAGACAGCATCGGTTGTCCGGCCAACTGCATTTGTTGGCTAAGTGACGGCATCTGTTGACCGACTGATGGCACCTGATCTAACGTGTCACCGCTTTGTGTGCCAACAATTTGTGCGTTTGGTATAAGGCCTGGACGCGCAGTTATACCTTGAAGGTTGGGGTCACAATGTTGGCCTTGTTGGTTTAACGAATGAAATCTTTGCATGTCCGACTCTACAGGTATAGAAGCAACAGATGGATATGGTGTCTGACTGAAGACCAAACTGGTAGGTACAGGTACATTGTTCATGGAAGGCAGTTGTACAACAGGGTACACAGGCATAGGTTGGGTAGCCCCTGACAGTCTTGAGTCTACAAGAGCTGCGTTGTATGACTGACTGTGCGACGGGATAGTTGTGGTGTTGATGGCAGAATGAGTAGTAGGTAAATAAACTTGTTGTGTTGGGATCGTTTGCATCACATGGTGATCCAATCGATTTTCTGTGATGACTGGTGGGCTTCCGTGACCAGGTAAATAGTCATTAAGTACAAAATTGGATGGAAGCTGCTGAAAACTGACACCTTGTGAAGACTTTGATGTCTGCGGTGCCAAGCTCTTGCGCAAGGCCTCTAGTAGTTGTGGAAAAAGAGCAATACCTTTAGCACTCAAAACTTCACTGAATTCTTGATTATGTTTCTTTAATAATTTTTCTCTGTCCTCCATGTATCTCTTGTGTAGCTTATCAAGTTCATCTTGTTGCCTGCAATAAAAAAGTGAAAATAACAATGAGAAAAATCCATACACATGTTTTTGTGGAATTGAGGTTGTATGAGAAATTTTGGTAGGTTTTTGGGTTTATTTTATTAAATCCAGCAGTACAACAGAGAACAAAGACAAGGACAAAGAAAGATGGATGATAAGGGCAAAAGTCGTACAACAACCACTACCACAAGAAAGGGTGTGCCCCTCCTACTCAAACTCTTTAAACATTAAACACCAATAATAAAAAGCTATAAAAATATAAGATATGTTAATACATGTTCAAAGTGCTATGCAGAAACAGTGATTTACATTATTATTTATAAGGTAATAGTTCAGCACAGGGTTCGTACGTTTTTAAACAAGCAAATTTCCAGGACAATTCCAGGACATTCAAGGTCAAATTTTCCAACTTTCAAGGACACAATATATATAGCATAACAGTAAAATATCGGCGATTTTACGAATAATTATAAAACATATGTGCTGTACTACTTTTAAATGCATGTTAGTTGAGTGTATATTAAGTTTTATCAAACTCTAATTCGGAGACGATGGACCTGTCTCTTTTTCTCACGCTCGTGGAAAATTAAGTTTTTCTCACATGTAGAATTTGATTGTAAGCAAAGGAATTCCCACGAGTATGGGCAAGTACCGGTAAAGTAAGGCAGGGGTGATCGCCTAGAGTGTAGTAGAATTCTCCCCTCGGCAACATAAATGTGCGCGTACAACAATGGTCTTATCTTTGCTTAAACTTGACAGTGTCTTTTGTAGTACCGGTGCGCACCCGAATAACTCGGTTCTTTTGTGGCGCCGCGGGGTGGGTTACCGCTTGTCTAGGGTCGTTGTTCAGCGAACAGCTGTGGCGAAGTTGACATGTATATACATTAAAACAACATAGCCTTCGATGGGTGTATGTTGCGGAGACGTGCATCTCATTTCATATATATTTAGGTGTTTATAAATATTGTATAAACGAATGATGTACTATATTATTAATTAATTTAATGGTTATGCTCTATTCTCAACACATCATTATACTATACTGTATTATTTATTATTATTCGTTACTATTGGGCATAACATTATTATTAATATTTAGGTCTATTATTACTAGGCCTTAGTTGTAGGCCTACAACTTTTATAATCTACTCTACATCAAAATGTTAACGTACGGTACCATCCTACCGGCACTGATCTGCTGCCGACCAGCATTGTTTTTCAATGATTTTGTAAACGATTATGATTATCAATGTCTGAATTAAAATTAAATGCAAACATAATTAATATACAAGATTTTTAAAAAAGCACCGCCTTTACTAAAACACAGGCGAACAACTCCATTCACCGAATCGCACAAGTTTGTCTGAACCAGCCAGTTGGCCATTTTCAGCAATGACATTCTTTCTGTCTTTGACAACATTCCTGAATTGACGGCGTACAAAGATTTGACCTGATTCTCTCAAGAGTATTGTGGGAACCAACTTGTGGGAACGTTTCTCATTCAATTTACTGTTACTAGGCAACTTGTAGTACTGCAATTAATGGTAAATGATCAAATTTCCAGGATATTCAAGGGCAACTTTAATTTCCGGGACTTTCCTGGAAAATGCTCATTTGTTTTTTCAGGACATTTAAGGAATTTAAGGACATGTACGAACCCTGTTAGCAAATTTGATAGTGTATCATATTGAATAATTTAGCACTTGCAAAGATAGAAAAGGAAAGATACCTGGTCATGAGTTGTAAGACGTTGTTATCTATGAACTGGCTGGCCTGTAGAGAAAAAAAAAATTGAAAGTTAGAACTTTCTCAAGTCTATAAAACTTGTTTCATCCCTATCATTTCAAACATGTCAGCCAAATTTGAAGAAACATAAACTGTGCCTTTTGTTACATTATACCTGTAATATAATCAGTATTTTTTTGGCACCATTTGGAATAAATGCCGCCCTCAAATAAACTCCAGGCACCTATTTTTTCCTCAAATAAACACCCCCATATGACTGTAAACAAATTTAATGGAAGGAACTGCCTTCCCACAATGTTCGTTATAGTATCTTGAAATTCACTAATGATATTGTAGACACCAATCTGAGGACCTCTTGCACAAACACTGAATGAAAACATTCACAATTTAAAAACAAACTATTCTGCCAATGGCCACATTTACCACTTCATAACTAACTCTTGCATATTCATTCTGACCACTCTTTCATTTAGAAATGCTTTCATCATTGCCCCTTAACTTCAATCAATTTTGGCAAACATTTAATCTCATGACATTTACCTGTGCAAAATTCATTTGGTTAGGTTCAGGAGTACTTGATGCAGTTTCCGGTGACATTCCTGTTGAAACTGAATCAGCCTGGGAAGGTATCACATGATTCACATTGGCCACAGATGCATGGGCCATCTCTGCTGTGATGCTGTCTGGTGTGCCACGCTCACTTCCAGAGATGCTACTTTTACGATCAAATGGATAAGGTGCAGATAGAGATACAGATTCCACCAGTTCTCGTGGTATGGAATCTAATCTCTCAGTTTCATTGACTGATGTTTGTGGGCTGAAAGCAGGTAGAGGCCTGTGTTGTTGATCAGATTCAAACTTCTTCAGGCTTTCAACTGCTGTTGTGGTGTGTACTGGTTCTTTTTCTTGCAGACTCCCACTCCTGTTTTGTTTTTCATCCACTGATGTGTCATCTGGCAGTTTGGGTGTGCCAACATTTAGCACTTGAAAGCGTCCTACATTTGTAATAGTTTTTGTGTTATCAAGTTGTGCTGGACTGGATTTATCTTCCTCTGGAACCTCCACCACAGGAGGCTGAAACTCCGGAGGACTCTCCTTTGAACCTTGTGCAGCTGGAGAAACCTTAAAGCGGCCAACATGTACAGGCTTTTCAATTAAGTTTTCTTCTGCAGAAGGTTGACCAGCTGCAGCAGTATCTCCTGCTTCTTGCACAATGTTATCATCTACTTTGCCTGTTGAAACAATTACTTGGCTGCTATCAACTTTCCTTACAGAGAATCTTGACGGAACACCATTTGCACTTGGTACTACAACATTATCTGCATGAGGCTCGAGGTCCACAGACATTTTGCGAGCATCCTCAATATCTTTGGTTTTGTCTTTCAATGTCTGTTCTGCAATTTCTAGCTCAACAGAACTTTGAGTACTCAGATTTGGTTCAGGTGGTGATATAGATGCAATGAGTTCTTGGTCAGATGTTCTCCTTTCTATGGTCATTACACCTGATTGGTCATTAAAAGGGCGTTCCTTGGCTTGATTCTTCATCATTCTATTTGCTTGATCAGAAGTTTTTCTCTCAAGTTTGGGATGCATTGCATTTTGGGGTGGAATTTGTTGAACATATGTACCTCCAGTGGTACCAGGCACAGTGTGTGGTCCAAGAGGAGTTGATATCGGTACACCAGAAAATTGTTGCTGGGAAGACACAGCACAATTATGAAACATTTGTTGTTGCTGCTGCTGCTGCTGTGCTGTAAACTGAGTCATGGAAACATTAGATATTGGATGCTGCATGTTTCCAGACATGATTTGACCCTGTTGAGGGATAATATTAGTTCCAGCCTGAGACCCTTGAGGGGTTGGAATAGGAATTTGCCCATGCACACTAGTTGTGGGAGGTACAAAGGCAGACCCACCTTTGCCTGGCTTTTTGGAAACTTTGGCAAGTTTCTGATCCAGATCCATTAATGATGGCGCACTCTTTGCTTGATTCTGACTAACAGGCTGCTGGTTTGGCACCCGTTGGCCTGTTTGATCAGACATCCAAGTTTGGTTGGACCCTTCTTGGGTACTTTGCTGGTAGACTTGGTTGGGCTGCTGTGCTATAGGCTGAGGCTGGCTGGGGTACACAGGTATGTTAGTAGCAACAGGTTGGACCGAAGTTGACGGTTGATATCCAGGCGGCAGAGCAAACATTTGATGAGTTTGCTGCTGGTGCCCTTGCTGTTGTGGAACTGGCTGGAAAACCTGTCCGCTAGTCACCGGCTGCACTTGCCCCTGTTGATACATTGGTTGTGGCGTTGCTATAAGGACGTTGCCTGGCTGGCCTTGGTGAACACCAACTGGCTTGATCACATTACCAGATTTGGCAAGGACAATATTTGCTGGCTGATCTAGGCCTTTGCCATCAAAAATAACTTGATTTTTAGCATCCATCTGCCCAGAGTTCATGATTTGGGGTTGGATGTATGCTTGTGTTGTAGCACCAGACTGAGCAGCCATCACAGTGGTGCCCTGAGGTTGGTGGGTTGGAGTATGCTGGTAAATGCTACTACCAATTGTTGATACTACATTGGCCATGGTGTTCTGAACAAAATACTGTTGAGACACCATATTTGGTTGACTGCCTAAAGGAGGACCTTGAGTGTCAGAGGTTAACGAGGCTACTTTTTGATTAGACAGTTGATCAAATGCTGGCTTCATTGTAACAGAACCAGCTGATGATGATAGGTCCGGCTGTATTTGTTGTACTTCAGCCCCAGATTCGACGGCAGAAGCTGAACCTGCAGTTACGTTTACGTTTACATTAACATTTATAACTGGACTATCTGTAAATGCTTCTGGATTTAAAGCTGCAGTGTTGGACGTCAGATCTCCAGGCGGCTCTTTTTTAGGTGATGGTAAAACAAATTCAGACTGCTTTTCCACTACCTGTGTCTGTTGTTAACAAGAAGAAAAATTTTAATTTAATAAATATCTTCTTTTAACTTAGATGTTAACATTATTAAGGTATAGATTAAAAGTATACTGTATTATGTTTTATCTGAATTTTTAATAAAGAATTATATAAATTTTAAAATAGTTTGCAAAAATGTGTTGCATGTTGACAATTAGATACACAATTCCATATAGCTTGGTATAAAAAATACTACTAATCAAAAACTGAATTACAAAAACCAGAATCAATAACATGCCCAAAATTAACTAAATTTGAAACGTGTGTAAAAAAGTTTTTGAGTTTGCTTATTTAAAAATCACACACACATTATATACATACAGTTCATTACATTGCTCGCTATTCTGTTAAGCTTAAGAACCAAAGAGTGTTATATAGTGGGAAACTACACATGATGTACCTGTGCTCCTGTATCATCTTGATCAACATCACTTTGTATTGCTGGCGCACTTTGAGACAACGATTTAGGACTAGATGGTGGTACAGGGCGCTCTAGCTCACCAGGTGGTGAAATCGCTGCTGGTCCTTTCAGTTTAGATTCCTCACATATCTTATGGAGTTGATCTATCAGCATAGACTCATAGGTATGCGAGATCATGCCATTCTGAATCTATCAAAACAGCAAAGTGTAATAACATGTAACTATTCTAACAGATCCAGTTTTGTAGGAAACTTCACTTCACCCTGAATCTAGATTAAAATATATTTTTATGGGAAATCAAATTTAGAATGCAGAGAGGTAGTTAATTGTTTCCAGTATTTATTATATTTTTCTATTATAATATTTATGACATACTATACTGTTATTTTTTTTGTATGATTAAAAACAAAAATTTTTAACTGGGAAAACAGTAACAGTAAAAAAAAAAAAAAACGTTATTCACTTTGGCTAAAATCTTGAAATCCAGCTAAAGATTCAATTGAAATTATTTAGACAAGATGAGTATAGTGCCAATTCCAAATCAATGATCAAAGGCGCTGAGCGTTATAACTCCTGGTCACTCTATAGCATGCAACAGCAAACCAGCACAAAGTGCAACCGTCTCTGCTCCACAAGGAACATATCTAGTTGTGTGCATGTATTGGTAGAGGGTAGAGAGAGAGACAAATGAAGATAAAGTGCCTTGCCCAAGGACACTTGTGAAAGTCTCTATCCACCTCTCATTATTAACCAAGTCATTGGATAAAATGCATAATATGTATATACACAGCTCACTGTGGGGGGGGGGGGAGGAGTATCATCAAGTCTAGATTTTTTTTTAAATTGATGAAACTATAATTAAAGGACTTACAAAGTTTGCAACCATCTCTTCAGGGTTATCATCTTCGTAACTGAATCTAAATGTAACTTGCTGGCCACAGTGATTGGTGAATGCGCACTCTAAAATCTCCTTATCAAACGATATAACTGATACTTTCGGAGGACGATCTTTGTTTCTTTTTATGTTTTTATTCCTTTGTTTTCGTTCTTCCTTGCTTTTGTCTCTCTTCTCTTTCTCACCTTGTTGATTTCTGTGAAGGTAATTTTGTCATTAAATAATTGCAAGGTAATAACCAAACTGTTGTTAACTTGAAACAGTATTTAGTATTAGTATATTTTCATGATGTATATAAGATGTATCATGTTTAATATGCATTTTTAATGCAAGGACAAAATAAATTTATCTTTAATATTAATCTTTATTACTAAATCTGCTGTAAAATTAAAAGCCATAAAATTTTACCCATCATCGGCGAACACTGTTTGACTGTCAAAAGAAACAATAGTATCTTTAGGCTCCGATGTGGCTGTGTATTTACCTGCTTGCTGTGGGTCAACCTGCAATAACATAACCATGAATAATTTCTTTACTACATCTTAATGGAACTATTAACATTGATTTATAATAATCTGCAGGAAATTAGAATAGGATACATTTTCAATGAGAATGTCTATAATTTGGCCTATTACATTAAGTCAGTCTATTAAATTGCGTATTTGAAATTAAGAAATGATAACACTATAATTGTACATGTAGCCCATATTGCTGGTTATTATTTTGATGCGAGTAAGACTTTAGTCTGAAAATCAATGAATAGCTGCATTTCAAGGCAGGATCATAAAGATAATTATGTGCAGGTGCACTGAAGAAAAGCCAAATATACAGAACAAAACAAGAGAAATCCCCACCAAATATTGGTACGAAAACAACGTACATTCAATCAATAAATGTTGTTTTTATCAAACCTCAATATGATTTAGCTTTAGTTTAATGTAACATTCAATAGATTTGAAGAATATAAAGAATTTGCTAAAGGTATACCAGGCCCAATTAGGCTAGGCCGAACTGATTAGGCCAAGCCGTCCAAGCTGTCACGGTAAAAGTGAAGTCCTAAATAATTGTAGGCCGTCCGAAAAATAATTGTAGACTGTCCAAAAGACGGCCGGACGGCTCGCTGGCTAAGCCTATGGTTGGACGCTACCAGGGGGAGAGGAAAAGTAACGGTAGTTGATAAGAAAGGCTAGGCATTACATATAAGCCCCGGGTTTTAAGACACCACCAAAATATGAATAAGAAAAGACTAGTATTTTCAGAAGTACATCAACCACTAGAAGGCACTTAATTCGGCGAATCGAGTGGCCGAGCGGTAAGGCAGGGGCGCCGCTAGCTACAGCCTTAACATCGGCGCTGGTTCCAGCCGCTCCTCGCCGATGGTTCGGTTGGTAGAACCAAGTCTTCTCGGATAAGGACTTAAGTATATACATCTGGCTCGTGTGCACTTTAAATAACCCATTGAGTAGGGGGGTTACCTCGATGTTATGGTTCATTTTCATTGTGGAATGATGTGAACATGTATCTACCATGAAGTGCCTATTTACGGCTGCTAGGTAGTCACGGACGCTGCAAGTTATGGGTTATTCTCCTACCTTTACCTTTACTTTCCAATAAGGACTGACAATATTACTACCTTTTAGAAACAGAAAATGCTTAAGGCATACCGTATCCCTAGTATTTATATTCCTCTAAGAGTACAATACATTTTCAAAGGTTAGGAACTCAGTTCATTATCTAAAGTACAGTAGCTCCCAAAATAAATGTTTTAAAAGCTTTGCATTAATAGAATGCATTTAGCGTGCGGAATGAATAAAATAATTTTAAAAAAACACATACTTGTTGGACGTCAGTTTTTGACTGTTGCTGAACTATGACCTGACCAACAACATACTGCTGACCCATTGCCCCAGCCTGTTGACCAGGCTGAGTGGTTGGAATATATTGTTGACCTGGTTGGTTTCCCTGGACATACTGAAAAGAAAAAAGTAAATATAAAAATATTTTTTGATAAATATTAAATAGTTGTGTATAAATATAAGTACATTTATTTAATTTACATTTTTATATCATTATAGCTTGAAAAGTGGCTTTTGAGCAATCATACAATAAGTGAAAATAAAAAAGTTGATTTTCAAGATTTTGGTTTTCCCCCCTTAGCATGGACTTTTTAAAAAATGGTTATAAATATAATAAATATCATTTGTGTTTAGTTAAATATTTACTCAGAAATGGATCAGAAATTTATAAATATATCTTCATATACAATATAATTCATGATTTTAAGTGTCTTTTTTTTAAATATTTAAATTGGCTGTATCGGCTGTGAGCAAAATGACATTAGTGACTGGTCATGTCAGAAGATGCAGTAAAGCCCTATCCAAACTATCAAACTTTATTTGAAAAAACATGTGACATGCCTATATATGGTCATGATGACATTACATCATGACCATATATAGGCACATCATGACTATATATACGGGCATAGAAAAGGCAAATATTATGTCTCCTCTCACAACATGTCATTTTCACTGCAAAGCTCAGGGTATTTCAACATGATTAGTATGGACTCATACTAAATCACATGGTTTGTTTATGAGATCACATGACCATTTAGAACTACCATTACTACAATAGGTAACAAGCATACTGAACTAATTATTTCTAATAATTTGAGCACAGCTGTGCACCAGCTTCATCATTCCGTTATTATTAGCTAATCACAAGGTATACAGTATTTAACATGTGTGGGTGATATTGAACATTTCTTAAACAAAAGATTAGATGTGAACAGAATATAATTATACCAGCTTTAATGAGTGTTAAAGTTAAAGACCAAATTAAACATGTGCTCATAATAGATTATGTGGAAGATCATACAACCTTGGGACATATATATATATATAGTATTTGTAAAACTAAATATTATTCATAATTTAAAAATTACAGAAGTTGTTACTTTAATAATAATATTGATAATGCTATTAGCAGTATTTAATAACCAAAATAATCTTCATAAACGATATTGGTGCATTCAAACAATACTGTTTGAAGGATGCCCTCTATAAGTATATGCCATAAAATTAATTGACATCCTCGATGATGTCTTTTAAGAACTAAAACCAAAAATTTAAATTGGATGAAATTTCTATTAAATTTTAATAAATCATTCCTTTGATGACTTTAAATAAATATGTTTTCAACATTCACAATGAAAGAAAAAGTGTACAGGTAATATCTACAGGCATTGTCGCAGAATCAGTATTTTTTTACTATAAATTTTTTGGCATAGAATATGTAAATTAACTCACTTTAAAGGTTCATAGGTTACGTTCTAAAGCTCTGTCCATACTATCAGATTTTTTTTGGACAAAAATCTGTTATATGCCCATATATAGTCATGATGTTCCTATATAAGGTAATTATGTGATGTCATCATGACCATATTTAGGCATGTCACATGTTTTTGTCAAATAAAAATTTGATAGTCTGGACAGAACTTAAAATTACTCAGGCTTTCAGGGTTAAGTGATTATCATCTCGTTCTTTCACAAATTGATTGGCAATTTATACTACACCAAATGACGACTCAGGCCTGCAGTTATTGAAACTGTGTTTTGTGAGTCATCATGGAGTGCCCTTAAGCCAATAAGAGACAATGCAGGAAATGTTGAGAGACAAACAACCAAATGATGTTATACCTATCATGGTTTTTGGACATGAATAAAACATTACTATACATTTATTTATAAAATATATACTTCCAGGAATTACAAAAATACTTTTGGGGGAAAAAATGAATAATAAATTCATAATTGTTGTTCGACCAACAGATCCTCTTTAATTTACAATTGCCAAGAATACCAGGAATATTATTTTAAAGATAATAACTACAGGGGATTTGAATGAATATTTATAAAATCATAAATATGCATAATATAAATGTATGAATAAGCATGATTATGACTCATAAGAATGTAACTATTGTTTGTTTGAAGGTTTGCATAGTGAACTAATAATGTTTTAAGTGTTTGTGGGACAACATGTACAGAGTTCTGAAAAGAACTGTTGTTGAGAATGTCTCAAAGTTTCAATTGTCATTATGAATATTCTTATTTTAAATTAAGGCTGGAAACATGCAAAAACAAATGCAAGAAAACAGAGCACTGTGCTGATGTAATGTGCAGGAATAACAGAACTGGTTGAATTCACAATAAGATGTCATATGCTTCTACAAAGACCAACCACAGACATGAAAATGTAACATGGATGCCTATATTTAGTCATGATGTACATATATATGGCCATGATGTGATGTCATCATGACCATAAGTATGTCATATGTTTTTGTCAAATAAAATTTGATAGTATGGCCAGGACTTGTAAGCAATAGTAGTCACACATTCACAAACGTGAATGTACTGTGAATGTACTAACATAATCCATCACCCTATCCATTATTATAAACATTTTCTTTCTGGAACTAAAAATAGTAATGGAATTAGTACAGGTCAGCATCATAGTAGTATGATAGCAACATTTCTTGTTGAATAAGCAGTGAATGCCCTGATTTCAGGGACCTTGATTGCAGATCTAGTGTTGTTAGATTGATGTTCTGTCATTTAACATTCAATTGTTAAATCCAAACAAAATCCCTAGACTACCAAAAACAAAGGGAAGAAAATATACTGTACAATATATTCAAATCTATGTTCTACTGCACTTATATTTTTTTTCAATGAGATTCCATGACTGGACAAAATGACTAAACACAGGGACCTTGATTCACAAATCTGTCTGAACATTAATTGCGGATTTAATGTTAGAATGATAAATTATTATCAAATGTTCAATTGTCAAATCTAAACTGACTATTAAGACTACAAAAAAGAAAGAGAAAGAGAATACTATACAAAATCCTACTGTGCTTTTTTTTAAATATTTTTAACTGTGATTTACATGCACAAATGTTCAATTCGTAGCAGTGTGATTTGTAAAGCACAGCCATAAATAAAAATAATGTAGTTGTAGAATGTGAATAAAAACATGTGTTAATGCTTGTCATGTTTTTGAATAGTGGGAATATTAGTTATTAATATGGGATTAGAAAAAGAAACTGATAAAAACATTAAAAAAATGTACTTAGTCTACCAACTTGGTGGCGCTATACAAGCTTATTTATAGCCATTAGGTTTTAATTTGTGGGTGATTTTGATTTGTGGGAAATTTTGATTTGTGGGAAATTTTGATTTGTGTGTGATTTTGATTTGTGAGTGATTTTGATGTGTGTTGTGTGAAACAATAAGCCTACAAAATTATCAGTGCATGTATACTAGAATTATCAGTCCCTCTTCGGTCTTTATCTTTCATTTTAGCCCTCCAAGAGTGTCAATCAAACTTAACAACTAACCAATCAGAACAGAGCCAGGAATATGCATGTGTCTATGAAGCACACATGTTGTCCCACAAACACACCCATTTATTAAGGTTTAACACCATCATTTTGTGGGACCTTAGCAACAATATCCAAGGGGCGGGGCTTAGTGGAAAGGTCACAGGAATCTAAAGAAAATTCACGGTTCAGTGCACACGCAGTGGCTACCACCAGTATAGCCACGTGAGATATGCAGCTTACTAACATACAAGCAATGCTAAGTACTCAGATAATTAATGAAAGACAGACCCATGACTCAGACTCCAGAGTACACAGATGAATCTCTAATTTCTGCAAGTGATTTACTTTATTTGTTTCCTACTTAAATTTGCGAAACCTTGTGATAAAAAATATCATTACAGTGCTTGCTCATTATAAGGCTAAAAAAAATAAATTGTTTGTTTGCCCTTTCTTTTTTTTTTTTTGTAATATGATAAATAAGGATGGGTGGAAAAAGTTTTTTTTATTTATTTATTTATTTTTTTTAAATACTCGTCAGATGGAATAAAAATAACCCACAGAGGCCTAGAATGGTAATATAACATCAGACAACAAATTTAGACAAATTTGTAGGGCATCTGGCAAAAATAAAGATAAATTCACAATTTTTTTTTTGGCCTAATCACAGTTTCATTTTGAGGCTTTAGTATTTTTCTATATGCAAGGATTTAATCCCAGGACCCAGGGATTAAAAGGAAAGCACAAGTCTATCTCACTTTCATATTGAAAACATTATGACAACATAAAGTACCAACTAAAGAGAAACTTGAAATCGTAACTAAAATTATATGGATAAATATTTATAGATTCAGGAACAAAGCATAATATAATTATATGGCAAAGTATGGGGGAAAAACCGAGATGCAACAAGCAAGTATGTATAAAAATGTGTGCATGTCTTATGTTTAATGCGAGCATGCATATTAAATAACCTTTAGGGGAACATTTTTTTATCTTTTTTTAATAGCATTGCTTTTATTATCTTTTCCTTGAGTTATTATTAGTACTCATTTATCAATATTTGAGATCTTTATCTGATAGTTAATTAGGAAATGAATTTTTAGAAACATATTTTGGATGTGTTAGAAACTTGGTAATTTAACAGTTGTTTATTCTGAAATATCTATGTGGAAATTAAGTTATATCAATTGGTCCTTCGGTATATATACTATGCAATATTTGAGTTCTTTTACCATGTACACATGTTCAGCAGGCTATCTAAATATAAATATTGTAGCCAATTGCATGATGAAAAGCTAAGGATGTTTATATTTTGAATGAAGGCTAACAAATTTTATTTGTCAAAAAACTGTTGTATGCCCATATATAGGCATGATCTGCTTATATATGGTCATGGTGTGATGTCATCATGACCATATTTAGGCATGTCACATGTTTCTGTCAAATAAAATTTGATAGTCTGGACAGGGCTTATATGACAACATGGACGCTTGTGACTGGTGATAAATAAATGGATGGGAATTTTGCCAATAAAACAAGATTTCAGTACACTACACAATTATACACTAAAGATGATGCTTAGAAAAGGAAGAAGAGATATATTGGGATTTTGAAGCGATTTAATCAATGATTTTAGAGGAATAGAAACAGAGTATCATATATTAATTGTATTGAAAGATGATGTCTTCGATAATTGAGTTAGTGAGTGTACTATTTTGAACAGTGAGGATAAACGTATGCATTTGAATATAAAATTACAAGAGATAAAATAAAAATCTCAAATTTTTCCATTTAATTGGCAATGAAAAAATTACTTCCTTTTTTGAAGGAGAGGGTAGGTTGGAGAAAATGGCTTATAATAGAATTTCTTACAAAATAAATAATAAATGATAATGTATAAGCTGTACTACTATAAAAATATACAATATATTTTCATAGTATGCCATGGTACTCTTAACATTTTGATGCTGTGGAGGAAGTCGGTACATAAACCCAGTTAAACTTGTTCATCTTTTCATCTAAAACAAACCAAATCTCAACTGGGAATAAAGTTAAACTTCAGGACTTCCTGTCTGACAGATTGACCCCTTTATTCAGCCAGGGCAAAACACAGATGTATGGGTACAAAAAATGCCTATAAAATAATCCGCACATCAATTTTAAAGATAAGAGTCTGCCAAGAAAGGTTCACTATAAGTCGCATTACTAGAAGTAGAATATATAATACTGACTCAAATAAAACATAAAAAACTAAAATACTATAAAAAATTTAGAATAATTTGAATGTTCTTCAGAGAGGAAAATAGAAAATATCCCTGCTAATACAGAATCTGGACCCCCTGGAATTTTAAATTACACTGAATTTAAAACTTTGATGATTTTATGTTTAAAAAAACAACTACCTACCAATATTCTACTGGTCCAAATATTTAAAGTAAAAGAATGGAAATCTACAAGGTGATTGGTTATGAGCTTTAACATGTCTTTTTTCAAAGTGACTCATTACTAGACATTTCCTGGGTCATTTTAGCTAACAGCTGCTACTAAGTGTCTATCTCTACAGGGGCAAGGGCAGTGGTACTTCACCTGTTACTTGTACTCATCCCAACGGACACTAAACCTACTCATCCCATTTGGTGCATACCATGATTTTTATCATAATTTAGAAGAATCATATCATATTAACTATTCTATTGTGAAACAGAATGAACGAAGAAAAGTGCAATTAATTTTTTTTATACATTTTTGTTTGCTTTCTAATTGTTTTACCCCTTACAACCCCTCCCCTATATTTCAAGCAGACGATGCTAATAGGTATTCTTTACTACTTTCGTGACCGTAAACATAAACCTAAAAATTAACAACTTAATAAAATATTGAATTAATATATTGATATAATTAATTACCATAGAATATGTATATATTACTAATATAGTATTAAAAACCCCTCCTTTGGGATACCCTTATTAATGGAACAGTTCAAAGGGACACTTTGTTTTGGTCCAGAAGGTGTCCCTTAATAGGAATATTTTTGAAACTGAAAAATAAAAAAACGTCCTTTGGGTTCTGGAAACCATTAACTTTTAAGTATTAGCTCATCTTTCCAAAAACAATACAGAAATGATAAATATCTAATGTAGAATACATTTCCAAGAAAAAGGAATGACATTTAAGAAAATGTTATTAATTTATCAAAGATTCATGACAGATTATAATATGCTAATCAGTATGTTAATTGTGGATTATTGGTATAATTACAATTTTAGTTTTTATCAAATTTTCCTTTAATTTTCTACTAGAGGAGACATCACAATAATTATAGCAAGTATATCGTGACAATGCTTGTTTAATTAACAATTGGAATGAGAACAGCAGCTGCCTAATAATTGCATTTGTAGGGAAAATCATCCATGCATTAAACCATAGGAGGAGGGGGAAAGGGGAATAATGTGTTAGATGTATGTGTAGTCTACATTAGCTTGTGTCATGTTCCTAAACTGATGATTTCTCACACAGCCTAATGAAGATGTGTTTATAGGCTCACAAGAAAAAGCATGAAAACTTAGACATAAACTGATTGTGTTAAAATTGAATTGATTAAATTTGAAATTTAGTAACTTGATGTTTATAAATTTGAAGTTTCCCTTTTAATTAATATACTTCTATATTACCTCTTTATTGTTAAACCACTTCTAATATAAATCCAGAATTACTAACAATATCATTATAGTTTAATATTAATATCCATTGTTATGAATATATGTTGATTAGATCAGGCCACATGAGAATAATGATTTCTCACCTATAGTATAGCTTTCATTTCATTATTATATTAACCTATAGCAATGTTATGTTATTGTTAACTGACTGGTTGATACATAAAAATGTTCTCACATTTGCCACAAATACAATGTTTAGTTGTAATGGCAAATTAGGGGGTAAAATTTATTTATGCCATGATAATGAATCAATCACTGCCTATCAACAGAGGCCTTCTTTAAGAATATTGATTTCATAACAAAAACCTAAGCCTAGTAAATATCACCATCATTATCATTATATATGTATTATTATGATCATCATCACTGTCATAAAACATAATTCATTAAGTAATACCTGTTGAAACTGTTGATTAGGAAACTGCTGTTGCTGCTGTTGTTGAAACTGCTGTTGCAACTGTTGCTGCTGTGTCTGTTGTTGAAACTGTTGTTGCTGCTGTGTCTGTTGTTGAAACTGTTGCTGCTGCTGTTGCTGTTGTTGAAACTGCTGTTGCAACTGTTGTTGCTGTGTCTGTTGTTGAAACTGTTGTTGCTGCTGTGTCTGTTGTTGAAACTGTTGTTGCTGCTGTGTCTGTTGTTGAAACTGCTGCGACTGCTGTTGAAACTGCTGACTCTGTTCCCCATATTGCACTTGGTCACATGTCGGTGGGTAGTTGCCTGATTGAGAGGGTGTCGTCTGTTGGTAATGTTGAGACTGTCCGGGCTGTGGCTGGTATTACATACAACAAATGTTTGTTTTAAGGTATTTACTCTATATTCTAAAACACATATAACATAAATAATAAAAAAATTAAACCATAAACAAGCATGTATGTAAAACTATAAATGTATATAAATCAATGAACGGACAAATAAATTAATAAATAAATATATAAATAAATAAATAAATATATAAATAAATAAATAAATAACTAAAAATATATAACATTTACTTAGCTTCAGCTTACCTGTTGTATACTCTGGGGCACGTTTTGTTGGTAGGACTGATTAGCAAACTGTGAGCTTGAATATACCTGTTGTCCTGATGTTGGGCCAAACGACTGAGAGGATGAATGACCTTTGCTGTTCTGGTCTGACACCGCTGACACACCTACACCGCTATCAGATGTAGTAATCGACTCACCTGCTGACATGAAATAAATTAAAAGGTGATTGTTATGGTAAGTGACTCAAGTTTATTTGGAAAATCGTTATACATAAAATTACATCAAAATGGAAGCATAATAATCAATGGATATTTATAATGCAGCAGTGTTCAAGGACTATTGGCACATTTACAGGTGACCTTGAATTTTTGTTTGATGTTCGTATGCCTATTAATTGGTGTGAAGGATCACTGTTGGTTTGGAAATAAATAATTGTAACAAATCTGTAATACTATAAAATAAGTATTAGGTGTTTTTAGGCCAATGTTGACTGGATTTTTGTCAGACCTGAAAGCACACTGTGTTAGGCAGTAAAATCAAAGACACAGTAATAGAAGGAGATAGAGCTGAAACCAAAAACAGTAAAACGACGTCTGGGTATCCAGTCCCCCAAACCCACAGTGGCGCTCTTACTTATAAAGGACGCCACCACTTTTCATCATTGAAGTGATTGGTTGTTGGATGATAAGTCTCGGGTATGTTTTTTTCATGTAATTTCTCCACTCTGTAAAATAGTTGCAGAAGGGCGGATGTTCCATCAATTTTACGCAAACATTTTTCTCATTTATTTTTTGGTACAATGTCTCTAGGTAAATTGCTTGCAGGATAAGCCCTCAACTACAATGCTTTGCAGAGACAATGACACTTTCTGTAGTACAAAACATGTGGGCCAAACAAACACCTGGCCAACGAGTCAACGTCATGCAATTTAAAAGGGAAAAGGATTTTTTGTGCTTTTCTGAATGAATTGAGAGACGACAATATTTTGACATGTTCTGGCAATTGGTTCCATTATTCTGGCGCCGATGGGACAAATGCTCGTCTACCACAGGGAGAAAATAAATGTTATAAAAATACATGAAACATAAAAAGTTTTTTCAGGATAATCCCAATAAAGGCTGGAAGCTTAATTCCATTGGGGTTGGCATCCACTCGATCCAATTTCCTATCAGAGACAGAAATATCAATTGTCAAAATAAATGCCTTGAACTTTGAAACAAATATTAAATAAAGCCAAAGATGATGCAAACAATTTCATGCCTGATTAACCAAGAGGATATTAATACTTTTATTTCTAACCATGTTTTTTTAAGCCTAGCAAATACTGCACTGACAGTCATTAGGCGACCCACTTCCATAATGAATGCAAAGCGACGAGCCATGTGCAAAGAATCTTTGTTAATGACCCGTTATTATTAAAGCTTGCCGACAATCAGAGAGGGTGAAGATAAGTTCTCTACGAGTAACGCCCTAAACATAGTGTGTGCCTGAGTTTACAATTAAAAGCATTCAATTGAATGCATTCATTTACAATACTTATTTGGTAATCATCACCATGCAAGACAGCAATATATGAAGCCAGGCACTTACTGCGTTACACGACTTTTGTATTATACGACGACCCCAACAACAACACGACACCAATTGCTGATAAAGCCAGTGACAATTTGAACGGATCATCACTAAAAACGATCTGCTGCTGCTGCGCGCGCGCGCGTTGTGTCACTGCGTTCTACATAGAATCGCGTCGGTCGATGGACGCAGTGTGTGCCCGGATTAAAGTATATGCAGAGTGGATGGTACAGTACATTGTGCTTATCTGTCATCTTTACCTGAACAAACACAGAGTTTCGAAAAGCAAGTTTAGGAATGAACTGCTGGTTTACATTAAGTTTAGAAATTGATTGTTTCCTTTCTGGTCTGCCGAATGTTCAAAATCTCAAGTCTCTCTATGGCGCTATTTATGGGGTCATGAAGAATCTATGTCACACAGGATTTGAACCAAGAACTGTGGGATTGGAAGGTAACCATCTGGTTACAGCGCCAATTCATGTCATGAGAGTAGAACTAAGGCTGAATTGTTCAAATTTTGTTGGCTCACTACAAGCCTTCTATTTCTTTTAATCATGTTATCTGATAGCCAACATTTTAGTAAAGTAAGCTAGGATCATCCCAGTCTATATTAAACATTTCTATAGACATATGTTAATATAGTATTTATGTACAATACTCTATTCTCTAAATAACTGGCCTTCTGTTTTCAATACAATATGAAATTTGAATTAAACCCACCGAAAATAAGACGTAATCTACTGTAAATGCCGTGGAAAAAAAACAAAAACAAAATAACAAGTCACATGAGAAACAAATTAAGTTTTTAATTACAATAATTAAAATTGTGTTGAAGTTTATTAATTACAATAAATTGATATAAATCTAATTTGCGCTTTCTATTGTCTAATCTATCACAGCATTCCTCGAAAGTGACCGCTGACCAAGTTTTTTTTACAAAGGCTAATTACTTCCTCATTTAACGAACTGACGTAATGAAAGGGAAGTATTTATAATTGTGTAACAGAGAGGTGATGCATAATTATGCACGTAAGACATTCACATATATTCATACAAATTAAGCTAATTTATAATTTTAATCAAATTATGAAAGTGTTTGTCTATTTTAATTGACATTGTAATTGTATTAATTTTTATATAGAAATAGCAGTCATTTATGTCATTCTGTTTGTTGAAATGATGAAGATGAAATTAAAACAAATGACCATTTTTATCAGTGTATTAGGTATTACAATAAAATAAATGAACAAAAAACACTGGAAAGATGAAAAAAATCTTTTTATGAGCAGCCTATTTAAAGATTTAGATAAATATTCTGCATTACAGTGATAGCAATGATGCCTACCACACATGTTGAATGAAATATAACTGACTTTAATAGTGTAGTGCTTATTATTAGAGTTAATATTATTTTTGCATGGAGATGAACACAGCACCGTCGAGTACATTTAATTATTAGAGTGGCTGTTACTGGGTACGCTATTACTTTATTGGTATGCATAGTGTAGCAAACAATGCCACTGTCTGAAGGGATGACTCAAGTTCCATATGACTCAACGTTGACGAATGACCAGCGTTATTTTACCCCGATTGTACATTTAACCACACAACAATAAATTAAATTCTAACAAATTCATAGACTTGGGAAAACAAGTCTATGACATAAAAAAGAATCTTTAAATGCCTAGTTTGAACAGTGCAACAAGAAATATTACATTGGAAAAAAACCTAAATCATTAAGTTGGGAATATTTCAATTGTTTTTCATACATTTTTTGTTAAATTTATTTTTATTAAAAACCACGGGTATAAAACACTAAAGTTTTGTAATCAAACTGTAATTTTATACAAAATAATAAATCAATATAAGAAATAGATATAATACAATATAGAAAATAAAATCTGAAATTTTTGGAAGAAATTTAATTTTTACATTTTCAGAAACATCACCTACGTCTAGTAAAGGTAAGAGAATAACCCATAACTTGCAGTGTCATTGTGCTGAATTGCGTATGGGCAGGGTCCATGACTACCTAGCCGCCGTAAAGAGGCGTTTAAGTAGCTACAGAATATTGTTCACATCTTCCACAACAACAGGGGCTGAAATATTTTTTTGTAAAATAATCAAATTAGAAGACATTACATTATAATTAGGTCTACTTCTATATTGTTATTACTTCTCCAATCAGTTTAAATTTAGCTTGCCCCACAAACAATTCACCCTTTCCGGTTTGACCCTATTTTTGGTGTGACAATCTTCCATAACCGTCATTTACTGATCAATACTGAAGGATTACTGTTGTCTGAAAGCTCTCGGGAAAATTGCTACAGTTACTATGCATAGTCTCTATTGTAGATAATATCTATACCATTACTATACTGTTGTTTATGACGGCTATTTTTTTGTTCTGCCTCCTCGGAAGAGATGATAATTTATCTCTAAGCTATCAATATGGATTCCTTTATGAACATCACGAAAATCAATGGTTATAAAAAACCGATTTTACGTTTGATAGAAACCCACGCTATATAGGCATGGCAAATTTTTGCAGTAAGTCATTGCTTCACGAAAGGATAAACAAACTTGGTTACTTATTCTTAAATGATTTTGCAACTAGCTCGTGTGCGAATAAATGTGCACAATGCAACATTGAACGGCTATAATAAAAATTAATACTTGTATACCTGTAGTAATCAAAACAGACAGTTTATTGTTCATTTGACAATAATTGACACTGTCTAGCTAAGATTGTTTTATGACAGTAGATAAAGTTTCCCTATTACTGACAAAAACAAGTTATTAATCTAGCAGTTTTATTCTGTAGATTATCTGATGTTTAAATTTAAGCAGGCGCTAATCAATTTTTTTTTTTATCTTAAAAGTCAAGCAATTGTTTTTCAGTTATATTGCATTTAAATGTATAGATCCTTCTTATACATGGAAAATAATTTCAGTTAAGACTAGCTATTATTAGTACATAAAATTCATTCCTATGCCAATATAACTATTTATAGGAAAACAATATCAAGTATCAAGACTACGTGGCTTCTTAGCTGCCCTGGTTAATTGTATGGCTGTTTCAATATTAACTTTTGTTTATACATTAGTTTACCTGAACTGAGCTGTGTCCTTTTTTTTCTCAGTAAAGCATTGCTATTTTTGATTTTTTGCAATTTCATATTTTTGCAATTTCCTATTTAAAGCAATATCCTTATTAACAATAAAAGCAAATACTGTAGGTCAGAACTATACAAATATTGACTTTTGCATAGCATCCAGTATTCTGCATCTAAAGGTATGCTCCTGGTTTAATATATTGATTTATTAATTGATTGTTTAGAATTTCACAACCGTCTGTTAAAGGTATATTTCCATTATATAAAAATCTAAAACACCTTCCAACACCCTTTTTGGCCTTGTCATAGATGTAAAGGAACAAGCAAGGGATCCTAAATTGTGTAAATTCATATCGATTATTCACTAGCTTCAACAATCAATGCCAGGAGGACCCTTGAAGGCAATAATCTAGGGGGTTTTGAGGAATACAATTTGATGAAGGGAATAAACACTGTTTCTTTCAGGACAACTAAAAGAGAAAGAAGTAAACCAACATTTAGGGTGAAATCACAGAGTAGAAGGGAATTAACCAAGGATATTTTAAGAAGTAGTACTGAAGGGTAAGAGATATTTTTAAATATGTCTGTCTCATTTTATAGTTAAATACTGCCAAGTTCTCTAGGGCTTCACATTATGTCTGTACAAAGGTCATTGGAACAAATGTCTATGTAACTCATACTCAGTTCCCTGGGGAGTATTTAATAATGTTGTAGCTTGCAATCGGTACATTGACATTCAAACTTACAAATACTTGCTTATATCTGGGAGTAAAAAAAGAGAGGGAGAGCTCTAGACAAAGTGCAAGAGGCAAGAGTTGCACCTGATTTTACGGTTCAATGAGAGACTGAAATGTAAACCACTACAACAACCTACGACATTAAGGATGATGATTAAAGGGAAGGGAAGTACCCTGGTAAAAGTAGAATTCCTAATGAGAGACGAAGACATTTACAGTGGCGTATTTAGATATGATTTTTTACATTGAGTTGGAATATGCAATTACAATTAAAATTTTTATTTGCAAAGTATTTATTCAGGATCTATCATATTCAGTGTACAACATACAATGTACAACGTCACTGTTGTTAAGAGGTTGAATATTTTACAATAACCAATAAATGATTTGATTGAAATGATATACATATTTTGGCAATCAATTTAAATAATATTAGCTGTCTTTATTCGATGGAAAAAGAAAATTACCATAATGCAAGAAAAAACCAATAAAAGGAAGTGGATACGACATCGAGTATCATCAGTGTGCCTGTGGAAACATAATCCACTGGATCGTCATGATGACCTGATACCTGATGACACCCTAAACGACCCACTTGTGGTAGGAATAAGATGAGAGACTTTTAGCTGTTTTAAAAGATAGTAATCATGTAGAGTATATGTGACAAAGATTGACAAATAGTAAAGTTATCACCTTTTCATCAGCACAATAAAGATATTGGACATTAATGAAAGAAATTTAATGTACTTTGTTGCTTCTATGCCTTGTATTTGTTTTTTTTCCAAGTACAATGATATTTTCAGTTGATATGTTTTATATTTTTATAATTGTAACTTTTATGTATCTGTATTTTTGATTAGTTTGGTATGGATCAAACCTCTCCTTGTAGTAGTGTTCTGTTATAAAAGAATGAACCAATAAATCTAAGGCCTAGTTCAGACTAGGTGGATAAACCCGGCTCAACTCACCGGATTTATCCACCTGCCAATCTGAACTAGGTGGTTTATCTCAAGCCGGGCTGTGTTCCTATAGTAACTAGGCCTGGCGTACCACCGTGTTTAACTGTTCTAAACTGTTTAATCGTTGCGGGGGGTCATGCGTTGACTGCAGGTAAAAAAATGACCAATCAGCATTCAATTACCTGTTTTGTGAGCGAGCGTACGTTTCTAGCGTAATGTTTCGAAAGTCGTTTCCTGGTTATGGTTCAAGTATGCAAATACTTGTGCCTGGCTAATTCCGCTAGTCTGGACAACCGGCAAAGTTAAGCCGGGATTAACATTAACTCAACGTAAGCCTTGTTTAAATCTGAACGTGGCCTATATGTAATGGTAGAATCCTAATGGCTGTAAAGCTCGGAACTCGCTGCGCTGTATGACGAATCCAACTCCGCTCCCTGTGAGCGCTGGGCAACGCAACGCCGTCTGCTGACTGTCAACGGCAGTCTGAACGGACCTCATTAAAAACAATCTGTTTAATCGCGTGTTGTGTTCTCCAGAGTCGTGTCGGCCGACGACCGTCGCCCACAGTGAGTGCCTTAAAGGGGGTAAGAATTTCAGAAGACATTTTTTCAGCCAAAAATATATAGTAAATCTATAGTTCCAAAAAGGAAACACTGCAAATAGATTTTCAGTTGATGAAAACCAGGCCACTATTGTAGACATGTAGGTGGCAGTAATGAATCATAAAAAACATAATAATAACTGATGAGTTACAACCCCAGCTGCTCGTGTGTATGTGGATCTTCACCAGAAAACATTTGTATTGTTATTTGATCATATATCGAACATACTATGAACCAAAGAAATATAAATAATACTAATAATACACATTGGTGACAGCCTATGTTTAAAAAAACTAGACTTAGCGCAGTTTACAACCATTTTCATCAAACATATGAGGTATACCCATGCCTTTAATGGCTACTGCATCTATTAATGTACATATCAAACGATAGAATGCTGTTAATTTGAATTGATGACTTCAGTAAATGTTCGACATACCTTCAACCTCTCTTTCCTGTTTTTCTAGCCTGTCTCTTTCCTGACGGTCGCGGTCGTGTTTTTCTTTTTCCAATCGTTCTTTCTCCTGCTTCTCCTGTTTATCCTGCTTCTCCTTGTCCTTCTTTTCACGTGTTTTCCGCAGGTGTGTTAACCGTTCACGTATGCTTCTCGCAACAGTTTTCTGATCCTCCTCATTTAGAAAGCCTGATTTGACCTTTATGGAGAAAAAAAGTCACCAGACCGGTGAAGTATAAAATGGTTATCAAACCAGTTATAAAAATAACTGACAACAGTTTGATAGGGTTTTTTTGACATGTTTTTTTTTCCTCAACCAACAATAATATCCTTCCACCGGAATAATGGAGGAAACAAATATGATAAATCCATATCCTGTAAACTACTAATGGAAATGCTGTAATAATATACCAATGCATCTTTGTAAAAAACAGTAGTTAATAATTGATAATATATTAGTACTAATAAAGAAACTATTGAAATACTTTGGCCAATTATAGTACAAGCATTTCTTAGATGGGTGAAACAAAATTATTAAATTGTTTTAAATAGAATAGACTACCATAATCAGTGGTAGACTCGAAAACTATATTTACATAAAAGAAAATTTAATTGCATGCTTTGAAAGTTAATCCCTTTGCTGTCTTGTTTGAATGTTATGTTACCTTTTTTTGTGATGTACGTCTTTATTTTTTTTTTGTGATGTACGTCTTTAGATTAAGGGGGGGGGGGGGGCTAATGGTTAGCCACTAATAATTAACTTTTAACACCTGTATGGTAGTTTCTTATGGTAGTTTCTTACATAAACTACAGTATTTTTGTTTTGTTCAAGTTTGTTTAGTGTAATTAAGTTAGTTCAAGATTTAAATCTAATTTAGATATTTGTGTGTTTAAACAATTGTTTGATTTATTTATTTTAAGTCATTCTTTTTTTTCCTTTTGATTTTCTGGTTAAATTGTTGTATACACGGCCTTGCAGAATAACAACTGTGTTAGTTGAGCCAAGTTTTCCGTGTTTTAAATAAAGCTTATTATTATAGTCGTGACGACTATGTGGCTACCTGGCCTCCCCAGGTTGTATACTGAATTTTCATAAATAAATAAATAAATTTAAAAGACCATATTTTTTCAAAACATTCTTGAAACATTTGTTTTTGCTTCATATAACTTTGTACAAGGAAGTGAGAAGAATTATGAACAATTTACTTGATAGTAGTAACATGCGATACAGTCCTAAATTTTGTTATGATGAGAACAAAATGGAAAAGACAGCCTCTGTGGCTATCAGGAAATAGCCAACCTTAGATTTTCAAACCAGAAATAGTAGCTATCAGTTGAGAACGATTTACGATCAATCGAAAAGACCACATGCTTTGATTGTAATCAATAGATAATGTATGCTTCAGTCTAGGCTGGTGAAAAAGCTTTGTAAGTAATGCTGGTAGAGGCTCTATATCATACACCAGATGGAAATATGAGTGTAGGAAAACGTCATTAAAGAGCTGTGTGCTTGAAGGTACTACTATACCAGGCTACTTGAGTTCTTTTGTTAAGACATTGTTTTTAATGTTGCATTCATTGACCTGGGTGTCTGAATCGCCATGGTGATGTGGTAGCCCCTAGATTCAACTAAAGTTCTACTTAGCTTTAACTCTACAACACAATGTGTACAGTATATTCTATGACATTAGGACACAGTTAAGCACTGTCAATGACAATAAACATCTGACATGCCGAATTATGCTCATGATAACATCACATCATCACCATATATAGGCATATCATGACTATATATGGGCATACAACAGTTTTTTTGGGTTTTTCTTGGTCAAAGAGAATTTGATAGTGTGGACAATTCTTTATTCATTACAACTATAGGAGTAGAAGTATATTTTTTTTCATTGTTGTACTGTAAATGTGCTTGAAGAAAACCTTGGAAAAACATAATTTTTGTCACAATAATTACTGAAAATTTCAAAAACAATATCTTTTTAATATGGAATCAAGGCAGTGAAACGTAAAAAAATGAAAGTTGTTATTTTTATTTTGCACAATAATCAACGAATCAAATGAACCAACACAGAGATATTAATAAGATTTCTATGGTACATCATGGATGATTAAACGCTTACATACCAACACGCAACGCCTATTTTTGTGGGCTACAAAGAAAGGGAACTTAATATATTGGGAAAAAAATAATAAAAGAATAGGACACAGTGGAAAAGTTTGTGCAATGAATCACCAAGGCATGCCCCGGTAGATAAGTCACAGTTCTGAGTACCAAGTTCTAGAAAATTAAGTCACATGACCAGAAAACCGGCAGTTTTGCAATCAATCATATATTTTATTCATATGAAAGCATGTAGGCTGTGTGTCTATTGTGCAATTTCAATTAAACCACGGTCTGAGCATTGTTTTTTATTTTTTTATTTTAACTGTATGGATATGAGAATGAATCACCCAGCATCAATCATCTACTGGAAATATCTTGGGTCTTACCTTCTTCCTTTCACTTGTTTATTGAAGTTACATCATGACCATATATAGGCACATCATGACTATATATGGGCATACAACAGGTTTTTTTTTTGTCAAAGAGAGTTTGATAGTGTGGACAAATCTTTATTCATTCCAACTATAGTGGTAATAAATAAAGATTAATAATTAATTCCTTGCATTTACCTTATATTTTAAAGAAAATTCTGTTGTAATTTTATTCTTCAAAAAGGAAGTACACAAATGTTGATTTGATTTGATTCCGAGTTTCAATGTATTCTCATGTAATTCAGCGTTAATGCTGCCATTTGAGATTGAATAAAATATTATTATTATTATTATTATGAATTCTTCTGATCAATGGGATATCTAAAAAAAGTTACCTTCTGTAATCATTATTTCCCAACCTAGCACCACTTCAGCAACAGTGTAATCCTCAGGCTTTCAACCTACTGCTAACCTTTATCTATTAGTTCGCCCATGCCTGTTAATATTCCTAGATGCAATTTTCTCTTCTTATTCCGGATTAAGCTGGTTTCCAATACTGGTCTTCCCAAAATTTCTCTAAATTTCAACTAATAATTTCCAAACAACATAGTATCGGTGGCAGCAAATTAATTTATAAAATTGGGAAAGTTTAGATATAATGCTATAAATTGTTTTAACTAGGTATTCTTCAGTTATACAGAATAACCCCATTGTAACAGATTATAGTGTTTTGATTTTCATCATGACGCAAACACATCTTGCACACTATCACCTGATACAAATTAGAAATTTAATGATAAGAACGGATACCTGGTTGTCATCACCAATTAAATTAATTAAACCATTAACCTTCACTTGACAAGCCTACAGATGTTAACAACAGATTCATGGTATAGTGATTTTGTGATCATTTTTATTAGTTTTAATTCAATGCCCTGCTTTCTTTTTTAAATAGAGACATCCTGAGATATCTGTCCAATAATTGGGTGAACTGTTATAACATGCAAATGTGCAACCACAACTTTACTGTAAACCAGAAACTTCCATGACTTTCATGGAAGTTAATTTTGCAAAATAATAATCATAAGAAGCCACTTGTAGATTTTTAACTCGACCTCAAATCTATTCTAAAGAATTTTAGCAATTTTGAAGACTTTTAAACAAATGCATTCAAACTTAAAAACTGATATTAAAAACAATAACTACTTCTAGCCCCATTAACCAGTTCAGAGTTCTCAATGTCACAAGTGTCAAGTCAAAGTCAAACCTAATTAATACTCGCATGTACATGCTTGTCACGTCTTTAGATATTAGAGCAAGGTGGTGGGGGAAACCGTTGTCTCCGACGATTATTGACAAATTCAACGAGAGGCGACTATAATTTGGAAATCACATATTTCAAAGCTATTTTCTTGATTTCTATACCACGTTAGATAGATTCCAGTTGGTTTGGGACTGAGGTCAAAGGGCACAGGATACTTTTCGGTAAAAATCATTCCCTATTCCTACAAAGCGTGGCGCTGCACTCCGGTGCTAAAACACCTCAAATTTCCAAGTTGCTCAACTAGAATGAATTGAGTTAATAATATATTGGCTGGTTTTGATAAAAGCTTACACACAGCTTATATAACACCTGATATCACAATTAAACTATTTCTTGTCACGTGTTAACGAGGCTAACAGAGCTTTTAGATTACCGAAGAGAAATGACCCACAACGACAGGAGGTTAATGCTTCAGATCAGCACAGAAGAATAAAATTTCAATTATAAATAAATGGTTTTTATAAACAAGTTAATACTGATATCTGGATATGACATGCTGGCAGTCAATTATTTTCAAAATTACAGGTTATTTATAATCATCAGGTTCAATTTCAGAAAATAGGCAGAATGGAAAAAAAGTTCCCAGAATTTCCATGAAAAATACCCTTTGCAGAAATTTAAACCCCCAGTTACGTAGGGTTTAGAACAAGCCAAGTTATGATTAAACAGTTCAAACCAATGTCAAGCTAATGCTGCAGGTATTACTGTATATCCACTTGATCAGTGTTCTAATTATAAACTGTAAAGTGTGTCCAGTAATTCCTTTTCTAGATTGAAATATATGATGAGTATAAATGATGAGCACAAAGATGATGATAATAATGATAATGATGATTATGATGATGATAATGATATAATAATGATGATAATGAAGATGACAAGAATAATAATGACAATGATGATGATGATTACAATAATGATGATAAGATAATGATAACACAGATGATGGTCATAGAGCTGGAAAGTTTCCCGTTAAATACTGTATGTTATTCAAATAAAAAATATATAGGCCTGATGAGAAGAACCGATGAAGATAACAATGATGATGATGCATAGAATTTCTGTAATCAAACTGGTATTAATATTTAGGTATTAAAGTACACCTCTACCAGAAAGGTGCTACTTGCTTAGTGTAACTTTCTCACAAAGTTGGATCTATAGATCAGATTTACTGCTAGGATTTCTAAAATACTGTCAGTCGAATTTTATCTAGCTGCTTGAATCACTATAACATCTTAAATGCTTCTTCTACCAAATAAGTTGTAAACCTTGGGGAAGGCAATTACTTTACTTCAGATATTTCTATAGTAATATTCCAACCTGCAGAAGTATAGTAAAGATGCTGTTGTATAACAAATAACAGGAAATTAAGATTTGTAAAGGGATTTCTGGTCTCTCAGCCTAGGAAGTACACTACCTTCATCAATTGCTCTGAAAATTTATATTACATTGATTCACAGTACAATCCCAACTTGTAATGATGATTCAATCGTACGAGCCAAAAGGCCAAAGGTATTTATGAATGGTGAGCTCAAAAAATTCCACAATAAAATGCCTTACAATGGAATCTCAGTAATGAATAAAAGCAGGGTGAATTAAGGCTCTCATCAGGTCATTCAGAATAGTTATTCAATTAGATTTCTTTTCATAAACCTCTAGAGTCAATCAGGGGGCCTAAGAGCTTAAAATCAACTTCATGGAGCCAAAAACAAAAGGAAAATATTGGCTGTTATTTTACAGGTTATTCCCATGAACTGGATTCTATAGGCTGAGTTATATAACAAACATTTTTCATGTACTATATAACCTTTTAATCTTTGTGACAAAACAACCATCGCGAAAAATAAGGGCACGCAAAAACCACAAATTCTGAATGACACTTGTATCTTCAAAAGCAATGCTAGGCCATAGCCATAGCTAATCTAAAACTGATATTCCCTCAATAGCAATACCAGGCCATAGCCATAACTAATATAAAACTAATATTCCCTCTATAGCAATGTCAGGCCATAGCTAATATAAAACTGATATTCCCTCAATAAATACTTTGTGGAAACATTCTTGCTCCTTTGTGCAGTATTTTTCAACCATTCAATCACATTATAAAATTAAATACAGTGTTATATAAATGACTGTCAGGGTTTAAGCTGGCCAAAAACAATACTTAGCAATTTGTCTAATTCAGTATGAAAATAATTAGCCAAATAGAAATTTGATTAGCAAAAACAAAAGAATATAAGGAATTACAGCTTTTATTCCATTAGCTTTTTGGCTAATTTAGAATGAAAATATTTAGCCAAATTGAGCTTTTATTAGGATTTGGCTATTTGGCTATGACAGCTTAAACACAGACTCTCATATTCCTATTCTGGAATATGCTGTCTTTGCTAGGCCAGTACATCACGCTACACACAGCCAGAGTAGAGTGGTACCAGTGGTGGTCTATTTTACTAGCTAAGCCTATACCTAGGCCTACATTAAGCTGGAATAAAAATCGCAGCATTGTATTTCTTCTACATTACACTATTTCCCATTAGTTGATAACTTAACTATTACAATCTTTTTATAAAACATCAATGTTAGATCTACATTTTCTGCAACACTTCTAACAATAACATGTCGCTTAAAAAACCTTGGCCAAACCTCCACACAGGCAAATTGGAATAGTTGAAGTACTGTAGGCCTGTCTAAGCTGGTCTAAAAATCGGGAGGTTAGGAGATTGCTAAAAAAAAATCGGGAGAAATCCAACAAAATCGGGAGCTATCCACCGAAATCGAGAGCTCTAGCTATAATATAGGCTAAAAGAACATAATGGTAAGTTTCTGTATCATGTTAAACAAAACCACTGGAAATTGTAAAATCGTGAAAATAAATGGACGTAAAATATTTCAAATTGTAAAATCGCGAAAAAAATAGGGCTGCGAAAAAAAAAGGTTGTACAGTATTCATTTATATAGATTAAGGATTTGTGGCATTGCCTACTATTTACCACTAAAAATTCAAATAATTTCATAAAACTTGTTTGAATTATAATTGGCAACTATTTTTTGTAATATGCTATTGTATGTTGTAAACTTTTTTTTTTTTTGGAGGGGGGGAAGGGGGAAGGGAGAATATTACTATCTGTTTTTTTTTTGTTTTTTTCTTTTGGTGGAAAAGAAGAGTAAAATAATGTGTGTTCAAGCTTGACCTCACCCCTGTACTCCTGCATGGTACAGAACACTTAACTTAAGTACTCACCATCTCCGCCGCAACTTTCTCATGGTCGTCTTTCTCTAGGTCAAAATCAAACTGAAGCGCCTCATTGTCTTTGTGCTTGTCGCGTCTCTTCTTAGGGTCCTCTATTTTCAATTGTAATTGGATACTACCAATATTGTCATCCTTAACGAGCTCCACTCGAAATCCGGTGTCATCGAAAAACTCATGGTTTAGAAGTTCTTTAATGGAATACCTGAAGCAAATTGGAAGACATATGACATAAGAATAAAGTATAATTTTGTTGAAAGAAATTCATCTGGCTGTTAATTTTGTTAATAATCTAAATCAAAACCTTGCAGTAAATATTGATTTTCAAAAGATTATGTAAGGCCAAGTAAAAAAAAAAAAGTAGTTTCTTGTCCTAATATTTTGAAAAAAGGAGAATAAGGGCACTTTTTTTAAAATTTAGAGATGGTAAATCCAAGATGGTCGATGGGACACAGTTACTTTCTCACATTTACCAAGTGGACACATTGAAAGAAAATAAAAGAAGCACTAGACATGATTCATACCATATGTATCCCCAACCACAAACTGATGTGAGTGAGCCAGATTTTCATACATTTTGTAAAATAATGGGAATAAAAAATTTTTAAAAATAACAAATTTGGTGAGGCAGAGAAAATGGATGCACAAGGGAATGAGAAACTAGTAGTTTTGTTTATTTGGTCTAATCAGCATCTTAAGAAAAACAACTAAAGCTCTGTCTACACTTTCAACTTTTATTAGACAAATTTATATATGCCCATATATGGACATGATGATGTCATACTACACCCAAATAAGGAATTTGAAAGCTATTTGGCAAATGAAATCTTGATAGTTTTTTTAAATGAATCTTGATATAGTGTGTACTAGCTTTAGATACAATAATTAACCAAATAAAAATGTTTTATATCCATTAAAATAAAAACCTACCTCAATGAAACATTACATTAGTAACTATTGGTTTTTTTAGGCTTAATGTTAATTCATTTAGTTATTCTGGATGCCCCATAGAGATATAAGAATACTAGAGCGCTAACTGCAATGTATCCGATGTTCGAAATACACAGAGCTGTGTGTGTGTACCATCCAAGATGGCTGCCATAGATTCAGCCAATCAAATTTCGCCTAAGCACTATCATTTTCAATGGCGCCCTCAATTTACACAGAAAGTTCAGTACAGCTAGTTACCCGTATGTTTGAAACTCGAGCGTTGCGGTGTATGGGTGTAATGTACACGATTTTAATTTTCGTATTATTTTTGAATAATTGCTCTACTTGGCCTCTTTTTGGCTACGATAGTTTAATAATTTGTTATTATCAATACTAATTATCATTAATGAAATAAGAGTCAGTCAGAGGGCTTATTTATGGTAACAATATGTATAGCAAGCCTGAAGGTGGCGTTTTCCTATGGCAGCCATCTTGGATGGTACACATATACAACTCTGCATTGCTTCGCCATCTTGTCAGCACTCTAGTTGTTTAATAGCTCCATGGGATGCCCACATCATTCTGACACTGTAAAATCAATACAGCTCTATCCATTTTGGCAGGTTAGTGAAATGGTGTGATAAGCTATGCTTTCTTGCTATATTTTTTTTTTAGGTGGTGGAGTGGGTTTTGATGGGATTGGGTTATTTTTTGGCTAGTGTTATTGCCTCTGTGTGTACAGGGTGTTGTTATACCATAACAACTTCCAAAAACAGATTTACTATCTTTTCATGATAATCTTTGAAAAAATTCTTTTATTAAATAATTTACAAACAATTTGATATGACTTTGAATTCAAAGTTGCATAAAACATTTGAAACTAAATTCTATAAAAGAAGTAATGATTCAATCAATATCAAATATTTACTATTTTTGGCACTAAGCAGAATTAAATTTTTCAAGACGGTCCCTCACAAGATGCAGATAAGGGATTACCATATTATTGGACTATGGTTAGACAAGCCTTATATCCAAATTATATAATGAAATAAGCCCTTTAGATAGGTGTCACATATTCTACTGGGTAACATATGTTAAACTCAGAATCAATATCAATTACTTTCTATTTAAATATAAAACAGGCCATTACTGTCTTAAAACAAATAATAAAAAAAAAAAAACGCACAAAAATATCAAAATGCTTTGGTTGCCGATACGGTATTTGGGTACATCAACCGAAACTGTCATTGAACAACATATTTAAAAACTTTTTAGGTTCTGTTAAAGAATTTAGAACAATGTAAGAATTTTAGGAATCATAGTATTTATTAAATATTCATTTCAGATATTCAACAAAAAATATGAGCTGTACTTTGGCCTAATGTTATTGGCTAGTAGTGTAAAATAATCTGACAAATGTACAATCCAAATATTTAAAAAAAGTTTTTTTTCATAACAATACACTGCATCCTGCTAAATTTTCTTGTTTGAATATTTAATTTAAAGCTAATTATTTACTAAGCAATTCAAATATTGAATTTAATGTTTATTAGCTCCCTAAATTATTATTAAATTAGCTTATTAAAATGTGAAGCACATAATCCTTGACATAATGCACTCCAGTTCTGTATAACAGACTTATGACATACAAAATTATCATATCAGAGTTGATGCATCGTTAATATAGTTAAGAATTTAGGTGCGAGAATTTACCAGAAGGTGGGCTAATCATTTTTTTTTTCAGTTTATAGATACTGTACTCTCCTCAAATAACAATGTCAATACCCACTACTTGGCAAAAGAATGCATTTCTCTTTCAGGATAGAGGTATTCCAAGCATTCCCATCAACAAGTTGGTCATGAAAGGTTGTTGAAAATAACCTAATTTTAAGCAACCAGCAGGTAATCTCACCACACTTTTTATACACACCAGTGTGTGGTGTGTGTGCTAAAATTTCTTTCTCTTTCATATAGTTCACTACAAAACAGATCAGTGTCTCCACAATATCTACATTTAATATTTTACCAGAAATCCATGAATTTTTGAATTTTCTATTTATAAAGTATCATGCATGAACAAATCCCAATTGCACTACATTTTTTAAGGTATTTCACTAGGATTTCATAAATTCCTGACCTTCAATATCACTAGATTTTATGTTGGATATTATTTTGACAGCATGCATTTATTTTCTGTCCCTTCCAGGCAGAAATTTTCAGTACTGCACATATTCCTGCAATGCGCATCGAATGTGCGAGAAGTTACATTATATTGAATACATTAGGCAAGACTTGCTATCACATTGTTTTGACAAGCAAGTATTCTATGGAATGAATAATGCAGAATTAACAAATCAATGCTGTAGACTAAAATGAACATCCAATCTATTAAAACATTTATAATTCAAAGTTGTTCTCTTATTTTGAATAGAATCTTGTGTCAATTACTACTACATGCAATGTGATTACTATGTTAATTTTTTAAATTTTATTTCACCAAAATCCAACGGCGACTTTACAGCGTCCATAACAGGATATGGCATAAAATTTTGTTTGTTATTATAAAACATCGATACTGACAATGCAAAATATTATACATTAAACATTATCTCTTTTAATATTTCTTTTTTTTTTCTGTTACAGACCTACCATTTTCTATTTTCATTTCAAATTCTAACCTATTGCAGCTCACTATTATTACCATGTGTTTAGTATAACTATCACTGTGTTCTTAATATGATGTAGGGCCTATAGTATAAGTTCATTTAGTACTTTTTTATGGTGTCTTATAAAATATAGTAATTTTTCATAGATATTGAAAGTAATCCACAGTGTGACTAATAAAGATTACCTATGGCATTATCTGAGAAAAATATGCCTTGCTTTAGACACGTATTATGATGTCACCATGCAACATGTTTTTAATGTTCTTCTGTATTACATACATTATGACATCATATGCGCTTCCATTACTCTTATGAATATTACTGTGTATTAGTCTATAATGTTCATTACACAACCATTAGACGTAACTGTACTGAAAGTGTTTACAATACAACATGCGCGTTGGTCAATGAGTAGTCACACACTACTTATGTTGTAATCTTGTTTACAATGTATGGTAATTGTAGTGGTTATGAAAATTGAAGCCTTTGGTAGTGGTACAGAAATTATCTTCCTAAAGCCAATTATCAATAAAAAAATTATGACCAGCTCTGACAAAACCAATTAATATTTAAAATTCTAATTTTAAAGATTTTATATTCCAAATGTATTACTGTATGAGGCTCTATTTAAGAAGAATTGGTTAAGTCAGGCATGAGGGAATTTCATAAATTTTCACTTGTCCCCGGACAAGATAATTGTACTTGTCCTCATATTATTGTGCAATAATCATAAAAAATAACATAAAAGTGAAGTATTTTTGCTAATGCCCTACAACATTAATAGGCCTACATGCATACTGCTTTCATTTCAAAAATGTTTTTCTTTCTTTTTTTAATTTGCAAAAATTTCAATAATGTATAATATGGAGAATTTCAATGAAATAAACATTATTAATAGTATTCTATGTATGTAGGAGTGTGTTGATCGTTTTCTTATTGCGTGTTTAAAAGCTGTCGTCACGACAACTGCAAGTAAGCATTTCTCAAGCATATGGTTGATTCCCACGATACACGATTTCTCAGCCAAAGGCTGAGAGGACTGTGTTTTATGACGGTATTTGGAGAAAGGGCGAGGGGGTGGCCATATCGTATGTACCCGTTTGCAGATCTTAATCAATTCTAATACTAACTTCAAAATGTTTTTTTTTTTTTATTCCAGAGGATACAAACAAATCTAAATTGCACAGGAAAACATCTAGAAAAATAGATGCGCAGAATCATAAATATTCCTACTATGAAGGCCTCAATTTTCTGCAAAATATTTGTCGAAATCGGCTCATATTTTCCAAATGCGGCGAAGGATTTCTGAGCCTAATATTTTATGCGGGAAATACTTTACAGCCTCACACATCCTCATTTCATTTATTGCAAAATAAATAAAATTCCTTACCTTTCCACGAAAGACAAGTACTGTACTGTAGGCCTAATATAACTATGAGGATGGGCCGAGGGGACGAATCCCTCCGAGTCAGCGAAATTTTTGAGACGGGAAAATGATTTATTTATGCTAGAGGCCCTACTGTAGCCCCTAAATTTTTAACTCCAGTTTTACAAGATTTGGATTTTATATGCACATTGTCTCCATCACTTACTGTAGAAGTGAATGATT